ATTTGAAGATATATGGAAATTGACCGATGAATTTTGATTAATATTTATATCATTTTTATGTAATTTATTTTTTATCATTTTTGTATCGGGAACAATTTTTTGTAACAGGTAAAACATGTTTATTTAAATTTTAATAAATATGTTTTCATATTATGTAAATGCATGGATTCAAGTCGGGTACTAAGGAATATTGACATTTACATTGTTTGGTTTTTTTGTACATCCGAATGAAATTAAAGGACACTGGTTGATAACAAAACCACGGCCGCTTCGTCCATTGAGACAAATTAAAAATAGATTACCATAAGCTCCTTTTTGAATTTGTGAATGTTACTTCTTCAAGAGATAAGCAGGCGCTGCTTTGATATTTGACCCATTTTTTGTCATATCAAATATTGTTTTAAGTTTTTTTTTTGTATGTTTATTTTGTATCAAATACAATGAAATGAATGAACAAAGGATAAATCTACTTAATACATAGCTAACCCTATTTGATAATTTCAAACGTGATTCGAAATGTATGTATAGATATTGTTCACTTTTAATTATCCAAATTTTCAATTTAAATTAAAGTCAAATATGCATTTTACTCGCGGAAGTAATTTTAATCAAAATATTATGGGTATAAATCAAGTTTGTCGAAACTAATTCAAAGCTTCATTAAATGGGAGACGCAAATGTAAAGTTTTGCAAGGCATTTCCGAAACGGATTCACCATAGAAACCATGTTGAATGTGTTTCCGGAATAATTAAAACTTTCAACTTAAATGACAGAGCATAGTTTCTGTCGCATTCCGTCGTTACTAATTATCGCGTGGAGTATTCTTTTAATGTAGCATGAACTTTTTTTTAAACTTAAGATCACACTTATTTATCAAAGAATCTTTAGACAAGGTCTGCTTTGCATTTTTATAACACGGACGAACATACATTCTGTTAATATTACTCTTTAACTGTGCATGACTTTCATGTGTCAGTTGTTGTCGTTGAACTTGGTGATGATTTAATTGGAAACCCTCATGCATGATAGTTGCTCAACTTTTCTTTGCTTTTGTCTGCAAATTCATTTTTGAAAAATTGGATTTATATCTGACCTGAAATGGATAAAAGCATATGCGTCTGCTCGAATACATTTCGATAATTCGAATTCTTTTCCTCGAGAGAGAGTCGATAGAGAAAGGGACGAAAGAAATAAAGCGGGAAAGAAAATTCGATTCACTTTAGTTTACCCATATAAATACATCAAAATATGATATTTTTACGAGCTCTAGAATCATAAATATGGATTGGTCATATTGATGAAATCAATGAAAAGGGCATTCATTACTGATTTTGTTTTATTCATGTTTTCTTTCTCCGCAAAATCTTTATAAGAATTCAACAATTGCTTAAGATACATACATTGTTGATGTTTGCTTTGTTCGACCGTTTGGGTGCAATTTTGAATTATGAAGAATCATCATTTCTAATCAAAATAAGATCTGATACTGGCTCGAATGAATGAGTATCATGAATGTTGACTCATTCGAATTGCGTACACGTGAGCCAATTTCAGTTGATGATTGTAAAACCCTGCTAGCAATTTCTATGTACGGTTAAAAGGTTTACTCGAAAAACGGCATCCAATTCGCAGGTATCACGATTGTCAAACAAACATTGTGCACAAATTTGACTCTTTCACATCGAGCCGCCAGGGTACAAAGTACTGAATTTTTGATTTCTGTATCATACATTCCAAATTATGTATATTTTTATTGGAATATTTATATTCAAATTGGGTACAACATTAGCAACAGCGAAATCAACATATTCATAAAATCAAAAGAAGGATTCAAGCAGCAGTGGCAGCAGACATTTTTTATTATGTTATTATTTTTGTTGAAGTTTTTTTCGGGTACGTATCATATCACGCAAAATGTCTATCTGATATCGTAATGTGCAATCTTTTTTGATGTCTCTGCAAAAGCCTTTTTGAAATTAGTTCGCAAATTATACGTCTAATTATCGTCATTCTTTATGACATCCGAACAGATAAAAGGCACAATCGCATCTTATTAGTCCCACACACAATAAGTTTGACACTCGTTTTCACTTTTTTCTAATTACAAATATAAACAAATTCATAACGTTTTATCTGAATAGGTTGATGTCATGTCATTACTAATGCAAACAATCAAATTGCTCTAAATAAATTATAAGAAGATATGCGACAGTGCAGATGTTGCTTCGGCTCGATGATGAAAATAGTAAATGGAGAGATGTAAATGTAAATTGTCTAAAGCTATTTTAGAAATGCATATACAGGGTGGCGCATATAATAGGCTCACTCTTAAGGGGTGAGAATTTTGAAAAACCCTTTGGGGGGTATGTTAGGGGTAAAAAATAGAAAATTTCTATCTGAGCAGAATTTTTAATTTTTCCCCAGGGGGGATGGGGGTGTCCCAAATTTTTCAAAAGTGCATCGGATCAAAAAATAATGTACTACAAAGTTGTTCAGAATGACGAGAGAAATTTTTTAGGAGCCCTGCCCTCCAAGTCCCCCCACCCCTTAAGGGGGTCGGGGGGTCAAAAACCCCCAAGATATGATTTTTTTGACCTCAAACTCCGAAATTCGGAATCAGCATAAAAAATTACCTTAGAATCGATATTTTTCTCATCCACCTTTTTTCACAAATTTTGGACGAAAAAAGTGTAAAATCGACTTTGTTATATTTGAGGGGTCACTTTTGGTCCAAAATTTGTGAAAAAAGGTGGATGAGAAAAATATCGATTCTAAGGTAATTTTTCATGTTGATTCCGAATTTCGGGGTTTGAGGTCAAAAAAATCATATCTTGGGGGTTTTTGACCCCCCGACCCCCTTAAGGGGTGGGGGGACTTGGAGGGCAGGGCTCCTAAAAAATTTCTCTCGTCATTCTGAACAACTTTGTAGTACATTGTTTTTTGATCCGATGCACTTTTGAAAAATTTGGGACACCCCCATCCCCCCTGGGGAAAAATTAAAAATTCTGCTCAGATAGAAATTTTCTATTTTTTACCCCTAACATACCCCCCAAAGGGTTTTTCAAAATTCTCACCCCCTAAGAGTGAGCCTATTATATGCGCCACCCTGTAGAAAATCTAATTGCAAATTCAAATTCAAATTGCTGTGAATTTGGCAACACATTTTAGAAATCAAATTTTGGAATATTTTCGAGAATCAATGATTGAATTGCTTGCATTGCTTGCTTACTGTGCACATTATTCAATGATGAAATTCCACATTCGAATCATCTAATCTTATAATTGAATAAATGACTTGATAAACATTTCCGAATGCATGCCAAACAATGATCTCCGAAGAAATTCTGTTACTATTGCCATAAATCGATCTTTGAGTCTTCATTAAGTTCATTCAAAACAACAACACAAAATAAGCGTGTTTGAAATATTTGATTGAATGATATTTACCAAAATGTGTGGTTGTTTTACTATTAACTTTTTGGATGAAGACCAAATGTTTATTTACTGTTCGGAGAATATGTGCCAAAAATATGGGCGACTACAAATCAGACTCAATGCAATTTCTACCGCGAATTGCAAGAAATTATTGCAGTAAACAAATTTTCAATTTTTCGACTGCAATCAATTTCAATACATGGAAATTCGCCGTATATAACTAAAAACAACGTAAAACATTCCCAACTTTGAATCAAAAGTTTTCTGAACTTTGAATAAAAAAAACTCATGTTGTTCTTTTTGATATCGATAAAGTATGAGTATGTGTATGTGCGCGCAATGCAAAGCAAAGCAGGTTCTCAATCAAATAAAAGCAATAAGTTGTTTATATTTAACAAGACTGAAACAGAATCATGAAATAACTTTCAAAAAGTTGAACAAAAATTGTGCCTTCAAAGATCCTGTATATTTTAAAGAAAACGAGGATGAAAAAATCGTGAAATAAATGCGTTTTCTTTGCCTTCAGAAAAAAATTCCCCGTAACGGTGAACACAGCTAATAGCAATACAAAAGTTATGTCATTCAAAAAATGCAATCTCTCATTATTGCTTTATTATTCGTTTCATATTTTAATATCAGAATAAATCCGATCAACAATTTTAGTTGCATCGTCTTCATATTTGTTTAGATAGTGAATTGCATCATTTCCGCTTTTGCTCGTTCAGTTTTCATTCGCCATGCTTTGAAATGTATTCGGAAAATATCAAAGAAAAATACATTTTGGCAACTATCGAGATAGTATCACTGCCATCGGAATTTATAGAGTATGTAGCAACTTGAAAAAGTTTTAAACAAAAATCATAGTGACTCTCTTCAGGTCTGTATGTTCTCTATCATTTCAAGTAAATGTCTTCTCTGTAAAATTTGTGCCCAGTGTCCTAGTTTTCTAATGTGGAAAAAAACTGCCATCGTATTAAACTTTATCATGCGAGCAAGACGAACGAAAGCGATTGTTTATCACAAAGTCACCATGAGAACAAGTGACATTTTCAATTGCAATTTTTCCCCATTTCTTTTTTCATCTCTAAATCGCTTGTTACTCCATTTTTATCAAAAACAAACGTAACTTTATCCATTTTTTGACGAAAAGAAATGAAATGGCACTCTTTTTCTCATTTCTCATGTTGTTTGCTCCAAATCTGTTTATATTTTTCATATTTGCTTATTTGTGTGTTTGTGTGCGTATTTGTGTGTCAAGCTGTTATTGTGATGTATTGGTATGCATCATACTTTTAGCAGTGCTGTGTTTCACTGGATATTGTTAAAGTGTGTTTCGTTATTTTTCCCATTGCAAAGAATCAACAAGAAGAGCGAGAACCAACGATACGACGCCGGTTGTGTATTTTGTTTCCTCTTTTCGTGCACACTCAAACTCTCTCTGTCCTCGTTTGTTTATGTGTTTCAATACCGTGCGGCGTCAGAGCGAAAAGGTTTAAGAACAAAGCAGCAAAGTGTATACTTTGTGTGTGAGAGTGAATAAAACGAAAAGGCGCACAGAAATAACAATGCATAAGCGCGTTGACGTTTAGAGTAATCAAATTTCGGAACTCAGTTGAAAACAGCAATTCACATTTGCAACCAATCAGAAGTTGCACTCTCAAATATCAAAGATCAAACGCGTTCAAACAAAAATCGTAAGTATTTTTTTTTTTGCATTTTAAACTGAACATTTTTCATTTTTTTAAAAATATTTTAACAAACATTTTGTGTTGTGAAAACAATTTGTAAAAAAAACTATTTAAAAGTAAAAGGTAGAGTGTTTGAACAAGCGAAAAACAATATTTCGTCATTGTTCGAAATAATAATACGGTGGAATTGAAAATCCCACCGACCAATTTAAGGTTATATGGAAAATCTTAAAATTTAATCTTTGAAATAATAACCAAAATGCATTGTGTTGAAAATGTTGATAAAATTGTTGATGAAGTTGATTTGAATTCATGACATTTGTATACATTTAGTTAAAATTAAAACTGCATAACATATAGCTTCAAATTTAAGTCGTACACACACCCAACACAATTCGATCGAGAAACTTTGAAATAAATTGATTACGTATTCCGTCACATTTTGATGCAGTTTATATTTATGCTAGACAATTTTCCTCAGTTGTCATTCCATGTGAATGGCAGTCTTTTGTATATAATGTATACAATTTCAAAAGTGTCGCTCTTTCGCCCGAAAACCAAATATCCATGCAATGAAATCTTGATGCGACTGAGATTTGTATTTGTTTGGCCTGATTCGGTTTTCATATGCATTTTATTTGAATTTATCGCATGCAAACTATACCAAATACCCAATAAATTTACACAAACACATTCATGCTTTCGCGTGTAATAAATGTTGAAAGCGTGCACATTGTTGCTTTTTGCTCGAAAACCACTCAATAACATAGTGTGCTGGGTGTATAATGTGTGCAAAGCGTCTCAAAGGAGACAAATAGATTTGAAGTAAATCACGAAATAACATGACTCGAATCACCCGTTCGCAGTGGAAATTAGCATTTGTAGCACACATACACACACACATTTTGGTATGACACAAGAAATAACGGGATGAAGGCTATGTAAGTCAATGCGAAATGGATATCATTCGAACATTTGCAAAACAAAGTGACCGAAATACATATTCGATTGTGTCGATAAATACGAATTATGACATTTAATATGGTTGGTGTGCGTGTTTGTGTCCATTTTAAGTAATCCACATATCAAAATACATGCACTTGATTTGAAATCCATATGAGTTTCCTCGTCCGCAGTATATTTTTGGATGATTCAAAAAGCCATTTCAAAGTGGAAAATGCAAAACTATTTGAAAGGTTGATCAAGGTTTAATATGTGTGAGAGGATTGTTCATATAACCAACAACAACCAATGTAATATATGTCAAGAGCATTTTGTCGAAATAAATGCCACAACATAATCTCTTCGTCATTCGCAGTTGATGCTTGTGCCAACACTAAACCATCATGTTAAAACATGTTCATAATTACTTGATCCAGTGCATCAAAAAACTTATTATTTACCCACTTACCATAATGCATTCGATTAAAGCAATTGCTCACCAATTTAAATATTTAATCAAAATAATTACTCGACCAATATGATGTTCATTCGATTCCATAATAAATGCACGCACTTTTTCTTGCTTTATTTTGATTCCGTGATGTTTGGTGCGAGAAGAGAGGCGCCAATTTCTGACATTTCATTTTCAAAGTCAATTTCTATCGTGCAAATTGGTTTCGGACAAGAAAAAGTGCTAACATATTCTTTTTGATTGTATATGATCATCAACGACTTTTGACATTTAACCATTACGAGTTTGAAAGTGTTTTTTTGCTGTTTTTTCTCGATCCCTTTTTTTGTTGCAAAAAGCATAAAATGCACTGTTAGTAGTCTTAGCTGAGTTTACAAACTATTTTGCTCGTCAATCTGTCATTAATATTCAAAGCGATAGTAATTAAGCGAAAAACTTTTCAACCTTAGCTGAGTGTGAGCCTGACTTGTCGGTTGGTTTGCTGGTGCCACTCGTAAAATATTTAAAAGCATTTTCAATTCCGAGTTTCCATTTTTTTTTATTTCATAGACCGTTATATTGAGTGAGTCGATGCTTATGGTATATCTTTTGAAATGATTTGCTTATGTTTAAGAGTTTCTTTCAGTTTGCTTCATTTACATCGTAATTCAAACAAACTTTTACTCGGCTTTTTATTACAGCAAACTCATTTATTTTGAAGTGAACAATGTTAAAGTGGAGATATGCAAGGCTCTGACAATATATTAATTGATACCTTTTTCGGTTTGTTCTGGCCATTGTCTGGTGGTAAGGCATCAGACATTGTGTTCGATTTTAATATTTAAAATTAATATTCTGTCTCCAGTGTGTCGCTTGAACGAAAGCAAAAGCAAGATTTAGCAACTAATGCCAATTCATTTATCCATCTACATTTTCGCTTAATCTGCACTTTTGCACAAAGTGTTTCATATTATTTTTCTCTTATTCATTTAATTGAAGTCAACGTCTCAACCAATGCGTTCATTCCATGCGGTTCGGCTGAATTTTCGATAGATGGCGCCGACATCACTTGTGTGACTCTATACAAATTGAAATTTCATGTATTTTGTTCTTCTTTTATTTCAGTAACCAGATTCAAAACTATCAACAGAAATTCGGATCAAATCGAATTGCCGATTGAAATATGGAAGCGAATTCAAATAGATCAACAATGACCAAAATTGAATTGCAAAATGCGATTTTCAGAATTTTGAGTGATTTGAAGATCCCAAAAAAAGTTGACGTCACCAAAACTACAACAGACATCATGAAAGAGGTCGATAAATATTGCCGTGATAATTACGCAACAGAAGTCGCATCACCAGAAGCAGGTGAATCCGGAAACATTACACCAAAATCACAGAAATCTGCGCAACCAAGAAAACTCACCAATCGTTTGGATGAAAATGACCCGAATCGCGAAAATGAACCGAAACGCAAAAATCAACCGTCAAAAAGGGTATCACGACAGCTATCATGTTTGTCCAGTTATGGCTTTATTGAACGTCCACCGGTTGCTGGCAAACGTACATCTAGAGCGGTATCACGTTTTGGTGATGTGAATGATGAACCAAAAACACGGCGATCATCATCAACATCAAATCGACAAGGCAAGAAAAAAGACGTTCCTCCAAAAGAGAAGGCGAAAAGTGCCCAGCACAAAGCTACTGCAATTGTTGCACAGCAAAATGAAACATCAAGTGAGTTTGAAAAGACGATATGATTCTTATTAATTTGTCTCTTGATTTGATATGATTTTAATTTTGAAACCATCCAATTTATTTTCAGTGCCGAAACCAAATTTCGTATACAAAAGATTCCAAATGGTTCACTACCCAATGGTTGACGTCAAAGCCGAACCAAGTGCATGAAGACATTCGATGTTTGTAACATCGACAACTCTATTGATCCATTCGGCAATCAACGAAGCAAGAAAATAATAATACATCACGTACACGAGAAATGTGTATCAAGCAATGACAAGTCTTTCATCATTTTTGCAAAAAGAAACATATATAAATATAAGAATACCAATAATGTGACTATTGAAAAAACTGGAAAAATTAAGAATGGAAAATATGTAAAACATCGAATTTCTAAAAAAATATCAAAGATATTTCTATATATAATATTACTCAGTATTACACAACCGATGAGATTAAACACATTTAAATATTCTGAACGACAGCAAGCAATTGTTGATTTTTTCAAGTAAAAAAGAAACAGAATCTCTAAAATAACTTGATCCAATGATTTAGGTTAACATTGAATCAAACAAGTGATAAACAAATGTATTCCAATTTTTAACCAACGGAACGTAATTTTTCTAACTCGTGTTCATTTTTCGTAAAAACATCTGTTAATGCATATTTATTGAATAAATAAAAAATGTCTTCGTTATATGATATATGTACCTTTTTCTATTCTAAAACAACTTTGGCATTAAACCATACAGTCGTTTTAAAACCTGTCGTTTATTAATCCATTTGTTATTGATTGCATATTAACAATTAGTATAAAGCCCGATCAACGACAAATGCATAGTCAAGGTATTGAGAAGAAGTGCTTGCATGGCTTGTTTAAAATAAAACACTGTGTGGTCACATTGAAATTTTTATTCAGATTCTTGTTATTTGTTGTAATTTACACATTTCTTTTTATATTGGACAATTAATTTTATCGCTCAAATGACACGAAACGCTTAAAACAATAGTTCATATCTATCAAGAAAAGAAAAACCAATTAGCACTAGGGAAAAAATCAATTAAAATTTGGTATTTTGACAAATGTGTCACACATTTGTGAATAAGAAAAGAAAAAGTGCGTTTTTTTCATTACCATTAAAATGGTCACTACAAAAGCAATAATTCTAAAAAAAACATAGTTCTATGTCGCGAATGGCATTTTTATTGGTGCTCTTCACATCATGGTTTTTTTTCGACGATTTTTCCCTTTTTTGTTTCATTTTTGTTTTGTTTTCAAATGGAAAAATATTTCTTCACACGTAACTACAATTACATTAAATTTGTTATTTATTATCAAATGATTGTGAGTGAAAGGAGAACAAAAATAATAGCTGGGAAAAAATTTAAATGTTACATTTTTTAAAACTTTTACATTTTTAAGGCAGTTGAAGATTTTTTCGTTCGTCTAAATATTTATTCCCTTTTTATTCATTTTTTCTTTTGTTTTAATTTTGGTGGGCGTACTTCAAGGTGTCGTATTAGAACACATTATTTTCAAATATTTGTTGCCAATTTTTTTTTCGAAATAAAATAATAAATCACTTTTTCATGGGAAATCGAATAGCTTCAAATGAAAACTTAGAAAAGAGAAAATGTGATATTGTGCAACTCTCTGTTATCTAAGATGCATGAGTTGTCATCCTATTCAGCGATTTCTATCTGTTATGCCCTGTGAAAATACTACTTTACTGGATGGAAGTACTGTTTGGTCGCGTATATCAAGACTTTACTACAATTTTTTTTTTTTTGTTTCAAAATCATGAAAACATTTTCATGTTATCCAAAATGGCAGTGATTTAGATGAAAAGATAGAATGGTGGGACAATTAAGAAGAAAAATTAGTATGAATTCTTATGTGAGACACTTTTCTACGAGCATAGTTGTGAAGAAGAATAAGTTTTTTGGCAAAAGTCTTTGATTAATTGTTTTGTTTATTTTTTACAGATGGATATGATCAGATATATAAATGTAAGACAACTATTTATTGAATGAATTTCTAGTCTCAAATGAAATATAAGATATTTTTTGTGTATGTTTCGTTTTGTTTCTGTTACATTGAGGTAGACATTTTGAATAATAATCAGGAATGTTTATAATTCACAAATTGAAGAATCGCTAGTCCCGACCAACTGAATGCGTGTCAACTTTTCATTTATTACGATTTTCTTAATGTGCTCTTGTGACAATCACCAACAAAAAAAAAAAACGAAAATTTTATTCACAAAAATCATAAGTGAGAAAAATAAATATTCCAAAGATGGAACAAAATACGGAAAACATCTAGAAGCTATTGTAGCGCGTGTTAAAGCTCGAAATAGAGTAATTCAAGATAATGAACACCTGAATCACTCAAATCTACAATTTTACTTCAATATACTTTTTTTTTGATGATTACAAATAATATTCATTTTAAAATAGCTTATGCACCCTATTCGCGAACTATGCATACGTCAGAAATTTTTTTCTATTAATTTTATAATGACAAAAAAGAGTGGAAAACAAAAGACATTTGCTGCTGTTGCTAACTGCTTTAAAATAACTTAACAATAGATTTCTTCATTTTTTTCATACTATGCCAGAATAAAAACCAGCTAAATATCTCAAGTATTTTGAATATTTCTCCATCCAACACGTGATTTGTTAGTGGTTTTATTATTGGCATGTTCCAAGTGTTGATCTGTTTTCGTTTGGTTTTCATTTTTTGATTGTTTTAGAATTTGTCGCAATCTAGTGTTGAGAATGCAATATCATTGATTATGCTTTGGCGCCGGGAATTTTTCCTAAGACCTTCGACAAATCAACTCCAGTTAAAGCCTGAAATAAATTATGAAGAATAAAAAAAAATATATAAATTTTATGCCAAAAAATGGAGATAAATTAATTTATACGTACATTGATTGCTGGTGGAAGTTGTCCAACTAAACGGGTAACATCGCCCGTACACTGATCGCTGCCACCGATCAGAACGATTTCTTCTGTCTTGGCCAATGGAGCTGCAATTTCAGCGGCAATCTATGGAATTATGAAAAATGTGTGATTGATGTTTTCAAATGAATCGATTTTCGTGTCGAATTTACCTTTGGTAATGATTCCAATACAATGTTCATAATAGCAGCGTCACCATATTGCTTGTAAACGGTGGCCTTCATGCGCATTTTTTCGGCCTCGGCTTTACCTAAGGGGAGAATCACAAAAGAAAAGAATTAATTGGAAATAATCGAAAAATAATCGACAAATAATCGAAATAATCGCAATAATCGAAAAAGAATCAATAACAATTATTAAATAATAGAAAGGTAATTTTTAAGTGAATTGCCCCTAGTACTTACCCACCAATTCAATAGCCGAAGCTTCGGCCATACCAATTTTTTTGATACGTTCAGCTTCGGCGGTGGCCGATTGAATAGTTTGTGTACGCTTTCCTTCGGCAATCTGTTGCACACGATAGTTTTCAGCATCGGCTGGCAATTTAACCGTTGCCTTAAGTTCACGATCCTTACGCTCAACTTCTTGCGATTCGATTTCAATTTGCTTACGACGTTCAACAATGTCAATTTGGATTTCTTCGTTTCTAATTTTCTGTTTGATTTTAGCTGCTTGTAACTCATACGCAAGTTGCGATTCGGCTTTCTGCATACATACACACACAAAAATCAAATCATTATTGAAATTTTCTTCAATCTTTAAAAATCAATGAACATTCTTACCGCAGTATTGATTTCTTGATCAAAGTGTGCCTTTTGTAATTTAAACATGCGAGAATTGTCTTCAATCTTTGTATCGGTCGAGTATTTTACGTCCATAGCACTCTTTTCACATTCGGCTTCACGAATACCGGCATCACTATTTGTTTGTTTGGTAAAATGAGAAAAACGTTAATTTCATCGCATGAATAAAAAAGTTGAAATTACAAATGAAGAAAAAAAGGTGATCAAAAATGTATGAAACGTACCGATTGGCTTCAGCAACACCAGTATCAGCATCACGCTTAACGCTGGCCGTTTGTGCCTTACCTAAGGGGAGAATCACAAAAGAAAAGAATTAATTGGAAATAATCGATAAGTAATCGACAAATAATCGAAAAATAATCGACAAATAATCGAAATAATCGAAAATAATCGCAATAATCGAAAAAGAATCAATAACAATTATTAAATAATAGAAAGGTAATTTTTAAGTGAATTGCCCCTAGGCCTTACCCAACGATGCCAAGTACTGGACATCATCGTAAACGTCTTTGATTGTAAATGAAAGAATCTCGATGCCCATGCGACCGACATCAGGGGCTGCTACTTCGCGTACCAATGCAGCGAATTGGTCGCGGTCTTTGTAAACCTCTTCGACTGTAAGAGTTCCTGTTTTGGGTGAAAAAATATTTGATCAGATGGATGTTATAAACAAAACCCAGCCATATGATGTAATATTCAAAAGGGAACCACCGCAGATTATCTCATTCAATATGCAGATGGTGATTTAAAATTGTTTTTCGTTGAATGTCGGTAGGAAGCGTATCGTTCAACACTGACATTGAATACACAAGATGAACGAACACAAAATGTAACGCATTTCATGTCAATGGCTTTATAAATTATTTGCTTAAGAGCTTTTATTTTATGTACAGAGTGTGTGGCATTGTAGTCGGTTCTATTTATCGGATAAATCGGTTTGTATGCAAGTATTTCTTCGACGATATGTGTATGCGAACCAGCTAATCAAACTTTAAACATACATAAATTCAATGTAATAAGAAAACACCTAGGAAAATACATTGAACGACAATTTGATATGAATAAAACAGTGAACCGACCAACACCCGCGTCCAATGCCAAAAACAATAAATATGACATTTGCATTTAAATTTGAGGATAGCACGTCGCGAGTGAGACCGTGCGTTACATGCTTTGAACATCATACATTTTATCAAAACATCCTAATTACGTTCACATTTGCCAACGTAATAGTGCCATTTTTATGTGCACGGTGAATGAACCTGACTTTTGTGCATAACCTTTGACTGTCTCGTGCACGACGGTAAGTCTCTTTGGGGCACACAGATAGGAATCAACACAAATGCAAGACAATTTGTAGCAAAATATTTTATTTGACCTTCGCACGAGCGTATTGTACATTTGCTTGTTGTTTCAAACAAAAAATAAGCGAGTAATTTATGATCCAACCAAGTAAATTGGCAACTTTCTATGTTAATACACTTAATAAAAGCGTCATTGTAATGACCACTTGTCTCATCGTGATACAGTTAACGATTATACTGACTAAAACGATGTCATTAATTACCTTTTTACGACGGCGTATGTCAAACCAACGATTAACGACAATTTAATTGTTCCCATCCATAGAAGAACCATTTTTTCGATATATTTTACTTATTTTGTTTGTATTGAAATTACTCGTAAGCGGTGTATTCGCGGTTTATGTTTATCTTTTTTCGATTATTCTCAGTTTGTTTACTTTCGCTGTTTTTTTAAAAAGATATATCTATCGCGTTAATATTCGAACTAATCGCAATTCTTTTGTCACGACAATTTCGCTTTATCTGTTTCTAAAATTAAAAAAAACACAAAAATCGATTGTTGCTGTGATCAAATACTCATTTTCCACTATGAATAGCATTATATTGGTTAGTTCAAAATTGATTAAATTGATTGTTGATGTTTGCGAATGTCAAATTTTGTTTATGTGGTGAGTTGTTTTCCCGATCTGGGCCTAATGAAATTATGATGGGCAAAGGCCAATTAATTATTAAATAATTGGCCTGTATTAATTAGTTGATAATGAATTTCGATATAAAATTCTCAGTGGGTGCTTAATTTGTTTATCCGTCGGTGGTATTTCGGTTTTTTGCATAATTCATTTATTTATTTTCAATTCGCCCGGATCGACACGGATTTATTTTTGGATATACATGAATTAAACATGGTTCTACTTTCGATCAAAGTACCATCGAATTTTTATTTTTATCAAAAAATATTGTTCTTGCCGTCGATTGGTATCAAAAGTAAAAATAAAATACCAAATTCCGATGACGAAACGTAACATTCGTGTCGAAATGTTACCGTTGTTTAAATATTTGTTGCTGCCATGAAAAAGGCTGTGAGTATGATGCGGGATGAAGATTTACGATACGAACATAAAATTGAAGTAAATCATTGAGTCTTCACTCGTTAAAATACCGTGTTGCGTTTTTTTATTTTGGAGTGACGACGTGCACAAAATCACGTTTTAAAATACTTTTCAAATTTCGTCGGTATAATTCTCAGTAGTCTCCTTTACATCGTCTCATGGAAAATGGTTTAGAAATTCATTTGTTGCTGGCGTCATTGTTATAAACACAAAAAACAAATTGTGTCTATGTGAATGTGTCTGAATGTAAAAATAGCGGCATTTGTTTGAAATTCAATGATTTTTTCAAACTATCTGGCAAACGGTATCGTACTGTGAAAGAAACACGGGAATATTAAACAAACGTTTGAAGTGTTTAATGATGTTTCTTTTACAACAATGCCATGTCCAACTTGACACAGTTTTTTTCTTTCTTTCAATAATTCAACATGGTCTCATTCTGAATGCGCCAATTGAAGACTGTAATTTAAACGAAATGTGAGTCAAAAGGTAATGAAAAAGAAAGATATGCAACATCCATGGTATTTAGCATTCAAATTAAACCAACGACAAAAATGAGATTGACATGCGGCGAAGCAGAAAATTGCACTATTTCTTTGATGTATTTTGTCTAGGGAAATCATTATGATTGCTTTTTTTAAATATAGCAAGACTTTTTATAGCTCATAAAAGAGACACCTACAAGCCACTGCCCACTTGTTAGGACATACATTTTACAAGCGCCAACGAATGAGTTGTATCTCAATTATGGCCAGGTGTACAAAATCACAGATAGCGCCAGCAATACTAATTGTTAAATGACAAATGATATAGCGTGATGACGTTGAGACAGAATATTGTTTCTGTATAATCGTTGTTAAAAAACGAGGGGGTTTCTGAAAAATGAGACCATCTGTAAACCAGTTTGGTATCTGCATAAATGATTGAGTGCAACCAAAATGCGAAATGCACTCTTGAGCCATATAAAGTGACGACTAAGACATAATTATGACGAAGTGTATAACTGACATTTTATCGATTTCATACTGAATAATTCATAGTACATTGATTCCATCAAAACAGCGAATACACTTTTCGTATTCCATAAATTGACGCGTGCTTTTAGTTGTAATAGAAAGAAATCAAGAACATGATGTTCTGATATTTATTGTGTGGCTATCTTTAGCCACAAACATGCCATCACTAAATTTATCGTATTAATAATTGATTCGGATCGATTTTTTTATTTGCGTCAAGATCCACAACAGTATGGAAGACAAATTACGACAATTGGATGATTAGCATTCAATATGAATGGAAAATGATTTATTCGAAAAACAAACCATTACTTGCTGCCATGTTAAAATACATTTCAAGTGAATTTTAAAGTAGTGGAAGGTATGAATTTAGTTAAGACCGAGTCAATTTCGCCGTGTTGCATTTGAGTTATGCGTTGAAGCAAATGGGTATTTTCCTCCTCATTTATGGAAGAATATTGCCCGTTTTAAGAGCAATAAAGCGATACTGCGTTTGTGTAAACAAAATTGAAATTCACTCATTTTACAGCTGAATATCGGTGGAATGTAGTGTAAAACAGAGATAAGGCACGACACTAAACTTTCCATTATTATCTTATTTACTAGTAACATTTCACATCAATAACGACAGAAGCAAAAAAATGGAACGTGAACTGTGCGCAGCTGTATTTGCACTGGCTCAAACCAAATCGAATAATATATTTGAAGGCGAACATAATTGAAATTTCAACATATTTCATTGCACACGTGACTTTGGCATTTAATATACAATAAATTTTGGAATAGAATATGTTGCGACAGGGTATTGGCATCGACATAACAGTTACCAGTGTAGAAACGTTGAATTAAAGAAGAAGACAATAGATTCCACCACGAATGAATAAAATGCATGAACCGACAAGGCTCTAAAAATAGACTCGAAAGAGTTAATAAAAGAAAATTTCATTTCAGTATGGAATGAATAGCAATTTTATTGCAGCTATAAAAATCAGAAAAAAAAAACCGTTGAAATGTTGAAGATTTGATTACATATGAAAAAATATGATGTTTGAAGCTTGCTCTAAGCAAATCTCTACATACACACACAATGATCGAGAGAGAGAGGGAGAGAGAGAGAGAGTCTAGAAGAAAGTCAATAGAATTATCAGACGAAATTGGCAATAAAATACGATCTTATGAGACTACTTGAAACTGGTAATATGCCACAAGGCAATCTTAAAATAATATTAAAGATTCAAGACACAAAACATGAGTTTTTTTCGCTAAAAAATACTTCCACGTTTAAAATTGCTCGTTACGAAGACTCGTTGCGATTAGGAAGACTTTTAATAAAATAACAATAACTCAAGTACAGCGCTGTAATTATGTGTAGTGCACAAAACACGTGCTGATAATGAAAAACACAGTGCAATAAAAATTGCCACATTTTACGTCACACTCTAATTTACATTATAATTAAATGGTAGTTAGTCAGCACTATATTATCCGCAATTTTTTTTTGCTCTCTCTCTCTCTCTCTCTCTCTCTCTCTCTTCCCGTTTCATTTAAACTTTTTTCTGTGAAATGACGTGTCTGGCTGTTGCTAATGTGCAAACTGACAATTTACGTTAATGATACAAGTGTTCTGGCGAATCAACGTAACGTATAAAGTAAATATCATGTCAATGGAGTGATTGTGTTATTCTCTTCCGTCATCAGAACAGGGCAAACGATCAAACTCGGAGCACTGACGGAGACAATTGAGTTTTTAAAATGTGTCGAATGTTCAACAGCGTACGGGAACATTGACGAAGGTCGAATTAATAAATGTTAGAGTATTAATTGAATTTATGATTTCTTTTGTGCGACAACAGACGTGTGAAAATAATATGCGATTTTTTTTAACACCATAGAACCCGATGGAAATTGTTTTTTTTTTTTTTTTAATGTGTGATTTATATTAAGTGTGTTTGAGTTCATTTCGATTTTTTCTCCCGAATAAATTGCTTATCTCATTTGGTTTTATGAAAGACGATAACGAAAAGAAAAAATTGGATGAAAAACGCAAGCAATCGGTTATAATTCATTGTTATTCAAAGAAAATGGTTGTAAATCACGCACTTGAGGAAAAAAAAGATTGAATTTGTTGCATTCGAATGAAGAATGAAATATAAAATCTGACTGACTTGTAGAAAATCAGTTTCAATTCACTTTCTTTAAAATTCGATGAAAAAAACTTGACATTCAAACTTGATTTATAACTTTATTCATAAAAATTCACGTGTAACAATATTGTTACTCTATCGATTTATTATTCAACAATCAATAACAATTTTCCTTTTTTGTTACAAAATTCTCTCTCACTTTTTTATCGATACTGAAATAGACAAAACAAATTTTCTTCGACGAAATTCGATTTGAAATTTATGTTTCGATGTTTGCTTTTAAATCGTGTGATACGGTCCGACTCCGTTGAAAAGAGAGCAACCGTTTCTGTGTACGTTATTTTTCCAACTGAATACGAACGTATGATGGCGAACCACTTTATACGTGCACAGACAGAGAGAGAGAAAGAGAAACAGATGCCAGAACCCGTGTGCGGTCGACAAAGAATAAACAAAAAAAAAAACAGAGAGAGAGAGAAAGAGATAAAGAGAGCCATGGAAAGGCGAGCGTATGTTGAACAATTCTATATATGCATAGAGAAAGAGAGTGTGCCTCAACCATATACAGCAATGGCAAGGAGAATAAACGTATCAGCTGTGCAATACACGTCGAGATTTGTTTCTTGCACGTTTGTTTAGATATACGAATGTATGGAACTAACGAACACAATTGAATTGAATACTTTGACTGGAATTGTTCACAATTCCATTTTTCTATGAACATCATGCCATCGCTCCCTTGACAGCTAGCATGACAGCACGTTCACCGAATCCAATGCACAGAGAAAGAGAAATGCTCAATTCAGAAAATGTATCGATAGCTCAACAAGTAAAAACCATTAAAAATGTGCAAACATCAAAAGTTTATAACATATAACACTCCGTAACATAAAGATATAGCCAGAACAAGTATATTCGATTCCATAAAATGCACACACACACTCATTAAAGGCATAATGCAAACAAAAAAATGAAAGCAAAAACAATGGTTACATTGTAAGAAAGAAGGGAGAGAGATGGAACGTATGGCATATTATTGCACTTTTTGTTTGGAATGATATAAATGGGTTTCACTGTTCGTGATAGCAAAAAAAGGGAGGCACTATGCAAAAACTAGAAACGATGGGAAGGCAATTGTATTTGAAAAGAGTGTTTTTGCTTTACTCAATGCATTTTTTCCAACGGTATTTGCACAAGAGTCTGAAAAGTTTTTCTGATTTTTAGAGAGAATAAAGTATGCGAACGATATAAAACCGGAACGCCATTTTTATTAAATCCATCATAAAATAAAATCACATGTTGAATTGGATTGTGCATGGCACGATTCAAAGCATTTATAATTCTTATCATGCGTCCGAAAAGAGTTCTCTTCCTTCGTATTAATGACGAAAAACATACACCGCGACTCATAAAGTGATGAGTACTCAATAGTGTACATTATATTTATGTTCGTGAATCAAAACCCATTCGTATTCTGCACAAGCAATCGTGTTTGATTTACCAACAATACTGTCAATCTCAGTAAAATGCAGTCATTCCAACTACGATTTGCTTCATGATACGCGATACGTGCTGTTGGCACGAGCCCATGTTTTGGATAGTCAAACACTTCCTTTTTTTGTTTACCCACTTGACATGTTTGTGTGGCGTTACGAGTTTGTGTTCATCTTTATGTGACGGATGTCATCAACAATGACTTCCCGGCGATACAAAACTTTCATTCTTCGGCAAATAAATTGTTTAAATTACTCTGTACATCTTTGAGTTCTTCCATGGACTCGGGCCCGAAAGGAAGTAGAGAAAAACTCTAGACTTTGTACAAACTTACCAAGAATAGCTCGCAAATGACCTTCGAGGGTTTGTAAGATAGTTTGCTTGATTTCCTTTACCGATTTTCCCAAGAATTGTTCACTGGCGGTGCCAAGCAGTTCGTCGGCCTGATGATGGAAATAATAAACGTTCATCATCTACAAATAGAAATAAGAAAAACGGCAAAGTCGTTCGAGATGAGAAACAGCTATTCCGGATGGGACACGCATATAGTTTTTTTTTGCTTTTGCAATCGAAATTCAAATATGACATTTTCATATATGATTTATATGGGCACGCCAAAAACCGATCTCTATATCACACCACACATCATTACCAATAAAGAAAACATTTTAAAAATAGAGAGAGGAAATGAAGAACAAAATTCGCGATGAATTGAATCATGCCATCGAATCAATGTTTAAAACACGATTTGAAATGAAAATAAAGAAATATATTGAAAATCACACCAAATTCTAAATATTTTGGCATATTTGAACATAAAAAAATAATTGGAATGAAATCCACACAATAAAACAAATTAAGGAAAATCACGCATGATAAACTACGGTATAATTGATAATCAATTAGAACTAGTGATGGCACTTGAAACATATATATATCAAAGTTGGCATTGAAAATTACAATTTAGCAGATCAAAATAAATCAAATAGAATAATAATCAAATTCGGTATGATAATGTGTGAATTTTTGTCTCGGGGCGGACTAACTATTTCTACTGGGTTTTTCTTATTCAATTTATAGGGATAACGTTGATTTTTTTTGTTGGAAAAATATAAGAAAAAAAATTGTAAATGAAAATTGTAAGAAAAAAATCTGAAAATAAATGAAAGTAAAGAAAAATGAATGCAATTTTTTCAAACACAGCATCAAATTTACCAACAACTGCAGCGCGATTGTGTGTGTCACACTCACTTTGTTTGCTTTTATCAATTCACACTACACTTTTATTGATTCAGTTTGATTGGATCAAGAATTTTTCTGATGTGAATTTTATCGAAAATAAAATGGAATGAAATGAATGACAAACCAATGGCAATAATTTTGTGCTCAATTAGAAATAGAAAACAGAAAATTCTCGAAATTGAATTTAAATAAAAATTTATATGAGAAATGGGGTGCTAATGTACATATTGAATGTTTTATATACATGGAATCTTCGGTGCCATTTGTAGTATGCGTTTAAATCATCGATGATTGAATAATAAAAGCGTCAAGTTGTCAAGCAACAACCATCGCACTGAAATCATTTTTTGTATGAAAAAATTATAAACATTGATAACGACGAAGCAGAACTGATAACATTTTTGCAAACAAAGTGAAATATCCAAAACGAAAGAATGAAAATCACTCAAAAACAAGAAAAACCATTTCAACTTAAGATGGTCCACATGGTGCGCATAAATGATAAACAAAACCACTGAAAAGAATCTTTGAATAAAAAAAAATCAAATGAAAGAAAAAAAAAATATGTTTGAACACGATGCAAATATTATAAACGATATCCATCCAGATCAAGCAGTTTCTAGTCAAGGCAGGCATATTAAAACACTAAATATATATCTAAAAATGGTCTGTTTTTTTGGAACTGTTGATAGATAGAGGAGCTTTTCAATTTCATCTAGTAGAAAATGGAAAAAACTCACAAAATCACATCAAAAGAGAAAAAAAAGAGTTAAAATGCATTAATAATTTGGATATATATTTTTGTGAATAAATTTATAAATTCCAAATTCTTATTGAATTCAATGAGCCGAATTGCGACAGTAAAATCCAAAATGATTCGGAATGTGGTGTTTATTCGTTTGATTTATTGAACAACAATAGTACGTCATGTAAAAAATACATTTCAAAATAACCGGATCAAAATAAAATCGAACTGAATTTTGGCCGCTTTATTGTCGCGATTCCGGTTTTATATGAGTGAATGATTCACTCGTCAAATAAAGAAAAAATCGATCAATTTCATCATTTGAATGAGAAATGACCATACCTTCATGATTTTGCATTGAGCAACGCCAGTAACGGTCAATGGAACACCTTGTGCTGTTTCGACTCCCTCGCACATCGGATTCAGTGTCATCACTTCAAGGTTTAATCTCTGAACATCGGTCACCAACCACCATGCCCATGCCCATCCACCGACAATCGTTCTCTTTCGTGTCGATCCACAGCAACCACCTGGAAAAAGAAGAGACACAAATATTGGTTAGAGAAAAAAAATAGAAAACATTGTCTAAAGTCAATTTTGCCTAAGTTCCGGCGACATTCATCGACCGAAATAGTTGAAACTATCGAACACGCTTTCTTATGCTATATCACTTCGTCGAACTCGGGCTTATTAGAAAAGAATGCTTATAATAATTAATCGTTTTCTAAGGCGACATAAAATTGATGGTTTCATTTTTTTTAGCTAGAGTTATGATCGTGTTTTTTGATGAATTAATTTCCAAAAATAGATAAATTTTGTTATTATAAATTTAGTTTTGATGAAAATTAACTTTTAAAAAAACGAAATAAAGCATATGTAGATCTTCAGTAAGAGGTGTAATGCGCTCAATAAGCGTAATGCTTTGTTTGCCGAACTTAGTATAGACAGTGCCATCTATATATAGAATGGGATATTATTTCACAAGTTTGAGAATGAGCGCATATGTTATTCCAAAAATTGTTGAAAAATAATTTAATAAATTGTTTCATTTTTTTGTTTTGAAAGTGAAGTTAGCACAATAAGAATTAGATAATTTCTATTTTAAAAAAACATAAATTTATATGCGTTTTAATTTAACTTAAAAAGCCTCGGGTGTAGAGTGTGTAGATCTTGTAGAAATGATTTTGTTAAAATCTCCATACGTAAACTCATAAGTGTGAGTGTGACATTTGACAGATAGATACAAAACGTAATGTTATTGTTCTCTTACATACTTGTCATACACTCGTGCGAATTATTCTGTTCTGTTAAGTTCGTTTATTCCGTTCATTTATTTTATTTATATTCTTAATCTGGCAATCACATCGCAAAATTGCGTAAAAATGGCAGATTCTATTAACAGTTCTATTGATCTTGACACCGGCTGTATAAAATATCCTGATGGAGACTTTACTTTTATATTAAACTTTATTCTGTTTAGTTCGCCAAAAGATAGAGTGAGGGCGTTAGTGTGACAGATTTCATATAAAAAAGCTACTGTATTAGAGATCTTTCTTCAGTAGAGCATTATATGAAAGTGTGATTAGATGTCAAGGTTAAAATCGAAGTATCAATGGAAATGCAACCGAGCTATTTGATAATTAAGAAAATTAGTATTTGTGTAATCACAATCTCATTGATCATTGAGTCATTGATCTTGTAGAGAGAGAGATGGCCAACTGTCACGATCACAATACACAAAACGTGTTTATTTCATTCTCAAAGAAAGAAATACGTGGAGTTTAGTGTTACAATTTACAAAGCGCGAGCTAAACAAATCGCGAAGAAAGACGATTACCATTTCTTCCATTCTATTTGCGACAAGAGAGCGAAAAAGAGAGATTCCACTTATACAAACAACGGCCGACACTTAATACGATCATACACACTTTATGCCGCTATATGCTTCTTTCTTCTTCTCTATTTATGGTACAACCTGTTAAACTGTCTAGCGCGCTAGTACCATCGAGATACATGTATACTTTTTCATATATTTTTTGTATGTCTGCAGAAGCAAACAAAGAGGTTTTGTTGATATTTAAATGAAATCAGTTGTTGATCGGCCGTTGAGTGTATCACAGTCGGACATTTAATTCTGCTCACTACAAACAGAAAGTTTTTTTGCGAACAAAAAATAACCATTGAAAGTGTTCAAGTTAACTAAAATAAGGTATCAACGAAGAGACATAAAAAAAAATTGAAAATCATTATCATCTGAATTCATTAAAAATTCATTGAATTTCACCCGAAAAAATAACGGTTTGCATTGAATGATGCACGATTATATCGCTAGATTTTAGTCATTTTGAAATGAAAAACGGACGACAAAATAAGTGAAAAGTGTTAATTTTTGTTTCGACTAGCATCGTGATGCTGACGGCGAAAAGATGCACATATGACATAGAAGAATATTGAACAAACTCTCAATTGAAAAGTGAATGGTTTCACTTGGTTCTTGAATTTTTGTTGTGTTTGCATTTTCTATGAAATACGGCCAATTTGGCGCGAAATATTTGTTAAGATTAACTTTTGACTGGCCCATGAATTATTTCCGATGGTTGAACATGCAAAGACGAAAAAGATTTTTCCATTTGCTTCGTGCAATATCAAGTTTCAAGAGACTCGATTTCTAAGAAAAATGGCATACTCGATGCGGTCGGCAAAATATATGTTTTTTGTTTCATGAACGTGTGGGCGGCGTCAGCGGTACTGTATCACGGGTTTTCCATTTTTCGGAGAAGAAAATTCAAGTTTACTTTCGGCAATAATTTTGTGTGTTTGCATTGTATTATTGTTTATGTCAATTTTGCACGAAAACAATAATTTATTTGGTTTATATTGCCGATGTGACCCATTTCATTTGGAAAAGATTAAAAGAGAAATTGATCTCTTGGAATATGGTTGTATATCAGCAAAAGTAATACGGTATTTACTCGATATGTATGCGCACATTTACATCTGCAAAAAATAACATAAAAATCGAATCGCACTTTAAATGAAATGGAAACAAAGTGAGAGAGAGATGGCGAAAAAGAAATATGCGAGTTTGAGAAGGTGTATGTGTGCGCGCGCAAAAACCACAATAAAAAAAAACATGCACTAGACATTGATAAACTTTATGTGAGAGTACGTAGAGAGAGAGAGTGAATGAGAGAATCGTTCGATTTTGCGGCTTACGTGCATTTTATCGCACGCAACAGATGCAACTATATACTTTATTTCTTTTTTTTTTTTTCATTTCGATGGTGAAAAACTTTTCTTATTTCAAGTTTTCTTTGACATGCTTGCACTTGTTGACGTCAAATTTGATAATCATTTTCAATGTTGTAACTTCCCCAAAAAGAAATTCAATATTTCAACATGACTTTGAAAACAATGCCAATGAATATTCAGGTGAAGATTTGAAAAGTTTTTTTACCGTGGGATTTTCCTTCGAACAGATTGCTCTATTTGAAATGGTTGTTTGTCTTTTTCAAATTGGGCCAAACAAACTTTCGGAACAACACTCTTCTAATTTAAGTGAATGACACTAACGTAATGAGTTTATCGTCCATCTCGAAGACTTAACGAGCACAAAAACAGTGATAAATTGTAATAACAGCATAATTTCTCTTTTATTCCCCTCTCTCCATATATCTCTTCATAATGTTGCAGAATTCGTTTTCCATCTAGGGAAACCGTGAAAAATTTCGGCCACCTAGACAACAAATAATAATAAAAACAGCAAAACGTCATTCGATAAAAACAAAAAGAATCATTTCGAGTAAGATACACCGCACGGTTTCACTGTAATGACAATCATTCCAAAACGTTAAAATAACGAAAGTAGTATTATGTCGTGTATATGTTTGGTTGTCTAAAGTATGTTTACGTTTGAAAAAATAAAAAAAGCGTTCGTGCTTCTTCTTTTATAAGTCTACAACGACCTATAAAACGGTGTAGTCAAGCAGAGATAAATTACCGTAAGATATTTTAAAAGTATGCGGTGCTTCAGCGATCGAAGCGAATGACGTACGTGCTTGTGCACGCATTCACATTGTAAAATGCCATCGACACCGTTCTTTTTCTTCTTATCCATTTCTCTTCATCGGTTCTTTTCATTCAAGTCAAAGCCATTGTCATCACTTTGACATAGAAAGAATCAGACAATATATTTAGCTGCCGTCATCTGGATATTTCAGCTCATCTGGATGCCGTCAGCAGATGATGCGAAGTGAAAACAATAGAAGTGATTGTTATAGCAATACCAGTATATAGCAAGCTTATATACCTATAACGATTTCTATTGTTTTCACTTTGTATCATCTGCTGACGATATCCAGATGAGCTGTAATATCCAGATGACGACAGCTAAATATATTGTCTGGAAAGAATCGTTTATACACGAATCGTTCACCTTCACACAAAAAAATGTTTTGCATATAATCGTTTAATTGATTAAATGAGTTTGATGAGACACACACATACCCATAAGCTCACAAGTCGGCTTATTGAGTATCTTTTTTACTCGATTAAAGAAATGCCGATGAAGTCATAATCACCAAGAACATTTCATTTCACAAAAAGAGAAATCTTAAGAACTCTTTCTGTGGCCGAAGATGATCGCATATAGCAATAAGAAGAAGAAAAATGAAGAGGAATTCTTTTGTAACGGTAATTGTTGCGGTTTCATAATGCAAAGCAAGAATTCTTTCGGTTTGATCAAGATGATGACAGTGACAGTGAGTGGAAGGAAACTAAAGAGCGCGGAACGATGTAGATATGTGTGTATGCGGCCTGATTATTTTTCTCTCTCAATTCTACAGCCATTATATCGGTGGTATGTCGATTGTGCCATGATATTACCAAATCGATTAAAAAAACAGCATAAAAGGCACTCAGTAACCCATTTACGGTTATCCACCACTTTTCTCGAATAACTTTTTAAATATGGGTTATCCAGTCAAATTACTTCCGATGCCAGTATACATTAAGTGGTTTGTCAATTTCCTTGATTTATAAATTGAATCGATAACATTGCACACCTAATTTATTCAGACTTGTAACTAACACGTACCCATGAATTGTGTGCAAGCTTCATCATTTAAATGACCCAAATTACAAACATTTCCTATGATATTTCAAATAAAATTATCTAACCGAATTGATTTGATATGAACAATATCAATTGCTTTGTCTTCAAATTGTGGAAAAATTGGGCTGCACCTATCTGTATAAAAAGTTTCGTAAACGATTTAAGCGATGAATTCATAAATGATTCGCAATATTTTTTTTATTATAAGCCGATCGAATAAGCTTGCAGTTACTCGTTTGTTTGTCATAAATTAAAAACCGTTTCACCGAAAGTATTGTAGTAGTTATTGGAAATGATTCAGTAATCATTGTTTGTGCCTATCGCATTTCGATTAATATTGATTAAAATTGTTTGCGGTTCTTCGTTGCTTTGCATTTCGCGCAATTCTTTCTCTGGCTCCGTTCATTCAATGTGACACAATGGTTTTAACGGTGGCTCATTTCAATTTTATGTACGGCAAACGGCATATGCGTGAAGAAATCACAATCGAAAAATCAATTCCAATTTTAAATGGCTAATCACATTTTCCCTTTTCATTGGTTTACATTTTATCTCAATTGATATTGTGTTCATTGGCAATGTTCGGCTATTTTAATTCGACGAAAAAACAATCGATTAGACACAATGTGAGAAGAATACTAAAAGAAAACGTGTGCAATTGAAAAAAAAAAAACGTTTTCCTCTCCCACAGCAGTAGCAAAGCCAATAAAAAACTGTATCGAAAATTTCACTTTTCACTGGTTTGGCGTACGTGATAAATGCAACATTAACCATTCGCCGGCTTTGCATTTTCGGTGCGATTTTTTCGCTGCTTTGCACCAAGCTCTTTTCTCTTCTTCACATGACTATCGATTTTTTTTCGTGCCATTGTATACTCGATAGTGCTTTTTTGTTGTTTGTATAAGATCATCTATTACGTAGGTTGCTCCATAATTTTTTTTAAAATGGTACTTATAGTGTTGCCCGATGTAAACCATTGTCATATTCGTAAAGTTTGATGTTTTGGTATGTATTCGTGCCCTGAACCTTTTGTCGTACGAACGCTATTTGTATTGTTTACAGTGACTGGTAAACTGCGACTCAACAAAAAAATGAATTTTACACGTGAAGATTTTCGTAAAATGATTTACTACGATTTTCGAAGTAAATTATCTCAACAACAGTGTTTCGATCGACTTCATTTGGCCTTTGGCAATGAAGCACCAACCCTTCAGACAATTTATAACTGGTACCGAGAATTCCGTTGCGGTCGTAGTTCGCTCAAAGACGAGTTTCATACAGGTCGTCCAAAATCGGCTGTTGTGCCACAAAACATCGATGCTGTCAGAAAACTGATTATGGAAGATCGTCATGTGACCTACCGTGAGATTGAGGCATCTTTGGGCATTTCATCCCACAGCATACATACAATTTTGCATGAACATTTAGCCGTAAAAAAGATTTGCTCTCGTTGGATCCCACATAAATTGACCGATGAACAAAAAATGGCTCGTGTGAGTTGGTGTAAAGAAATGCTCAAGAAATTCAATCGTGGTGCTTCAAAAGACGTTAATAAAATCGTCACTGGTGACGAATCGTGGATATATGCCTATGAGCCCGAAACGAAACAGCAGTCGACTGTATGGGTCTTCCAAAATGAAGATAACCCAACGAAAGTTGTTCGAGCTCGAAGTGTTGCGAAGCAAATGGTCGCCTGTTTTTTCGGGAGAAGTGGTCATGTGGCAACCGTTCCACTAGAGGATCGTAAGACCGTCAATTCTGATTGGTATACCACCATTTGTTTGCCCGAAGTGTTTGGTGAAATAAGAAAAAACAACCACCGTCGCAAAATAATTCTTCATCACGATAATGCGAGCTCTCACACATCTTTTCAAACTACTCGATTTTTGACCGGTCAAAACATCGAACTGATGGGTCATCCACCGTACAGTCCTGACCTGGCACCCAATGACTTTTTTTTGTTCCCAAGCGTGAAGAAAAAACTACGTGGTCAACGATTTTCGACACCAGAAGAAGCAGTTGAAGCGTTCAAAACACACGTTTTGGAGATATCAGTTTCGGAGTAGCACGAATGCTATGACAAATGGTTTCATCGAATGCAAAAGTGTATCGATCATCTCGGGGAATATTTTGAAAAACAATAAAACCATTTTCGACAAAAAACAACTGTGTTATATATGTTTTTAAAAAAAATTATGGAGCAACCCTCGTATTTCAATTTTTATCAATATTTCCGACTATTTATTTATTCAATAAAATTTCAATTGTTCATCGTTTGTGTGTCCATTCATTGGATCGCCTTTGGTTGGCATAAAAATAAAAATAATTTTGCATTTTAATGGAAATACCGAAATGTAAAGCAATCAGTACTTGGTGATTGCCAGAAATTTAAAAGTTGAAGCAAACCAATTTAGTTTAATAACCTAAATAAAAGTTTCCAGCCGCAGAATTTTCGTCGTTTTTCCCAATTCAAATATTCAAGTTCTTGTTCGCTGGTTTAAATTAAAAAGAGACCACGTATATCCCTCAGGGGTAAAATGTGCATAGTAATGGACGTCAATCCATTTACATAAGACATTTGAACTTCACAAAAAAAGTGCGATGTTGTTGATGGTTTTGATGTGGGTCACTGTATTCCCTTGAATTAGAATGAAATACGGAAATTGAAACGTGATCTAAAAGCAAATACGAAAAAAAACAATAAAAAAAATCAAAAGTCCCGGTGCATTTCCATTAGGTAACCGCAGTCAATGTGACTAACCAGATGCAGATCTGGTTTCTTGTTCACTTGTCAGCCATATGCTTTTGCCTCTTACAAAATCACAACTGAACGAGTTTTGGTTGTTTGGTTTTTCGATCAACAAAAGCAAATCATACGTACAAACCGAATCAGTTATAATTTTTTTTTGAGTATGTATGTGTATGTGCGTGTGTTTATGACGTTGAAAGCAATCAAAATAAACGTGTATTTATCGAAGCATCATTATTTTCATTCTCTGTTCACCGGTTTTCGTTTGCTCTTCTTTTGTCGACACAAAACCATTCATTTAACTGAAGACTGTGTATATGTTGTTGTTTTGCGTTTGAGAAGATTTGTGGGGAATAAACTGTAAACAGAGAGTTATGCAGGCATCAGTAACAGGCCGTGCGTGTATTTCGTAGACCATCACAGAGGAAAAAAAATTCCATAGTGTATACGTACAGTTGGCAAAGATTAATTGGATGGCTTTGAACTTGATTTTTTAACGGTTTCCGTCGAATTTTACGTTTAGTCTTTAATTGGTAGCTCGAGCAAACGGATCGTCTGCATTCGACTCGAATTTATTGAAGTGCTCAATTGTCAATTGTGTTTGTTTTAACCATTCTGCAAACGAATTGTTCGTTAATATTGCACTTTTCATTCTTTCACTTACGTCGACTTGTATTGAAATATTGATCCAGTTTATGTCTACTTTCAGGTGAAAAGCAGAACTATAGCATAACGTGGCAATAAAAAAAACCTTTTAAATTCCAAACAAAACAGAGAAATGTGTTTATCACATTTCCTATTTGAATAGAGAGTGTCAAATCGATTAAAAAAAAAAAGAAAAAAGCAGTGTTGTGTGTGATACGAAGCGTATAAGATGAGTGCCATAGTCGGAGCCGCAAATGCAATTGGCGGTGCTGCTGTTACAGCGGCAAATAGTGTCGGTTGGTTTATTCCAATGCTTGTTGCAGCCGTTGCATACTATCAATATGAAGAGATAATGTCACCCGAATCACGACCCATCGACATTCCCACCGAACATTTGCTTGACGAATATGTACGACTACATTTAATGTTTTTTTTTCTGTTCTTTTATTAACGTGGATTTTTTTTTATTTATTTTGCATCGGAAAAGGATTTTATTATAGTTGGCGGTGGTTCGGCTGGAGCGGTTGTGGCAAATCGATTGACAGAAGTGGAAAATTGGAATGTTTTATTATTAGAAGCTGGCGGCGATGAAACTGAAGTATGTTTTTGATTGCAATAAATGAAAGTTTCATATGTATATAATGGAAATTGTGTATTTATAGGTGTCAGATGTACCATTGATGGCTGGATTTTTGCAATTGAGCCCATTGGATTGGAAATACAAAACCGAACCGCAAGGAACGGCATGTTTAGGTAAATTACATGTTCGATGCAAAAAAAAATGCAGTTCACAATGAATTATTTTTTTTAAATTGCAGCTATGACTGGTGGACGATGCAATTGGCCAAGAGGCAAAGTAATTGGGGGTTCGTCCGTTTTGAACTACATGCTTTATCTGCGTGGTCACAAAAAAGACTATGACGATTGGGAGGCAATGGGCAATACCGGTTGGGGTTATAAAGAAGCTTTATATTATTTCAAAAAATCGGAAGACAACACCAATCCATATCTGGCTTCAACGCCATACCATTCAACTGGTGGTTACTTAACTGTCGGTGAAGGTAATTTCTCTTATTCAATTGAGAATGACAAATCAGTTATTAAAAAATAATGTTTTTACTCGAGCAGCTCCTTTCCACACACCATTAGCGGCTGCTTTTGTTCAAGCTGGTGTTGAAATGGGCTATGAAAATACAGATTTAAATGGTGAAAAAGGTACCGGTTTTATGATTGCACAAGGAACGGTACGTCGTGGCAGTCGATGCAGTTCGGCAAAAGCATTCTTGCGACCAGCTCGTTTACGTCCAAATTTACATATTGCCATGCATGCACATGTGACACGTTTAATGATTGATCCAAAAACAAAACGTGCATTTGGCGTTGAATTCATACGTGATCGTAAAATACATTATATTCGTGCATCAAAAGAGGTTATCGTTTCGGGTGGAGCGGTTAATTCTCCACAAATTTTAATGCTTTCCGGCATTGGGCCAAAAGCTGAATTGGCAAAGCATAAGATACCGTTGATTAAAGATGCACCGGTCGGTGAAAATCTGCAGGACCACATTGCATTGGGAGGTCTCACGTTTGGCGTGAATCAAGAAGTGTCAATTGTCGAGAGTCGAGTTCAATCGGTGTCAACTGTTTTGCAGTATGCGGTATTCGGTCAGGGGCCGCTTACCATTCTTGGTGGCGTTGAAGGATTGGCTTTTGTTAAAACAAAATATGCCAATGCTAGCGATGATGTTCCAGACATTGAATTCCATTTTATCTCCGGTTCAACAAATTCGGATGGTGGCAATCAATTACGAAAGGCACATGGTTTAACACAAAAATTTTACGACGCTGTTTTTTCACCATACAATAATCGTGACACATGGAGCATTTTACCAATGTTATTACGACCAAAAAGTACCGGTTCAATTCGATTGAGAAGTCGCAATCCATTGTAAGTTTATCACGATTTTTTGCCTTCATTTTTTTTGTTCAACTATTTTATTGACTCACGGTTTCACCATTTAAATAGTGACTATCCGTACATTTATCCAAATTACTTCTTCGATGATTCGGATTTAAAGACGCTTGTTGAAGGTGTTAAGATTGCCGTGGCTGTTTCACAAACGAATTCAATGCAACGATTTGGATCGAAATTGATTGCATACAAATGGCCAGGTTGTGCCCATTTGGAATCGTTTACCGATGAGTTTTGGGAGTGCATGATTCGACAATATTCGGCTACCGTTTACCATCCGGTTGGAACGTGTAAAATGGGACCATACTGGGATTCAACAGCAGTTGTTGATCCCGAATTGCGAGTATATGGCGTTCGAGGACTGCGAGTTATTGACGCATCGATAAGTAAGTTCCATTACAGTGAAATCATGCTGAGTGAACAATTTTAATAAATTCACAACTTTTTTTATTGTCATTTACAGTGCCGAAATTAGTTGGAGCAAATACAAACGCACCGGTAAATATTGCGCTTTTTCAGTATTTCCGTCTATTTACTTTGGCAAAATTTCAACTAAATTTCATTCGTTTTATCACAATCAGGTAATGATGATAGGCGAGAAGGGAGCAGACATGATAAAAGAATTTTGGATTCATCAAATAACAGCTGGTTTCGAGTAAACGTTACGTGCGAAACCAAAAGACATGAACAAGAACCCATAGTTTTTTATTGTATTGATTTAAACCAATTTTCTGTTAACTTAATTTATTTTCATTTAATTTCTTAATTTTTGGTTAAAAAACTGATTGAATTGATTTACTGCTCTATTTTTTTTACATAAAAATAGCACATAAGTAGAATAAATTAATTGTGATATTAATTAAAGAAATTGACAAATATTTACTGCGACAATGAACGTATATTCAACTTGAAAAGGCCTGAAAAATTAAAAAGTGACGTTGACCAATGAACTGCAACTAAATAAATAAGGTGTAATCGATTTGGGCTCACATCAACCGAAACGACTCTATATTTATCTCAATTTAAGACAAGTGAAATAAAATATTTGAAAGAAAAAAATCTCAAACAGTACATTCAACCGATTGTTTCTTTTGTTCAAATTTTTTCGAAAAAGCAGACAGTTTAGTGGAACAAAAGGTGCGTTTGAGCTGTTCGAAATGGGTTTCAAATTTCCAGAACAATTGCATTGAAATTGCAAACAAAATGTACTTTTTTGCACGAAATTCAAGCCAATTCAGACTTTTGACTTGAATGTTTATGTTTCAGCATGTAAACAAGGTGACAAAAAAGTTTATGAATTTTTTCGGTAAAAATTGAATACTCGCAAATTATTATTTACAATTGGTTCTGCATTACACATTGTACCGCACGCTTGCATAGCTAAGCACATATTTTTTTTTCTTTCGGTTTGATGTAACATTCTGCGGTAGAGAAACTTCAATTGGCTCGATTTAAATGTAGTTGGTGTGACAGCATACACAGTGGTGCAGTGAACAAATAGTGTCTTGATTGAATAATTAATAAATTATTATTTCGACAAAATGTTAGCTGAAGTGTTTGCACATTTACGTATATTTGTGACGTATGGACCGGGAATGTTATTTCTGATATTTTTGCATGAAGCAATACGCGTTCGACGACCGGACATTATCGATAAAGAAAATCGAATTCGGAATATTGAGACAAGTGAATTGTTAGAATCTTATGACTTCATTGTTATCGGCGGTGGAAGTGCGGGTTCTGTGATTGCGTCAAGATTATCGGAAATTGAGTCGTGGAATGTGTTACTAATCGAAGCCGGACCCGATGAATCGTTACTTTCAGGTGACCATTTAAAGTGAAATTCGTTTTAAACAAGAAAATGTGTATAAAGTTGTGCTTTTTTTCTTCAGAGGTACCATTCATATATCCAGCTCTGCAGCATTCAACACTTGATTGGGAGTTTGAAACAGAAAAATCGGATCGTTATTGTTTGGCAATGGACGGAATATGTTCATGGCCCCGAGGTAAAGTGTTGGGTGGTTCGAGTGTTCTAAATGCAATGATGTACGTGCGTGGAAATCGTCATGATTACGATCGATGGGCTAGCTTGGGAAATCCTGGTTGGGATTATAAAACGATGTTACACTATTTTAAAAAGTCCGAAGATATGCGAGATCCAACATTGGCGAAAAGTCCATATCATGGTGTCAACGGTTATCTAACAGGTAAAAATTGCCGTAAATAATTTGAATTCGAAATGTATTGACCGTTTGTATTAAATTCAATCAGTGGAACCATTTCATTTTGCATCGCCGTTGGCTGATGTCACAATGGCCGCATTTGAAGAATTGAATTTTCTGAACGAAGAGAATGATATTAATGGTAAATCACAACAGGGATTGGCACAAACTCAAGGAACTCTTCGCAATGGATTACGGTGTAGTACAAATAAAGCATTTTTGCGGCCAGCAAATCATCGACCAAATTTGCATATAACATTAAATTCATTCGTTCAAAAAATACTCATTGATCCGATTACACGAAATGCTTACGGTGTACAATTTCAACGTGAAAATAAATTGTTTGAAGTGCATTCAACGAAAGAAACAATTTTATGTGCCGGTGCCATTCAATCGCCGCAATTATTGATGTTATCGGGTATTGGGCCAGCATCACATTTGAACGATATTGGAATCAATGTGATACACGATTCACCCGGTGTTGGTGAAAATCTGCAAGGTATAATATAATCTCGACACAATTACGAAAACATGCAGATTTTTAATTTCATTTTTGTCGCACTTTTAGACCATATCGCAATGGGCGGCGTCGTTTACTTGATTCAAAATCCATTTTCAGTGGATACACTGTCGTTTGTGGTACCAAAAATGGCAAATGCCATTTCAATTCGAAACTTTGTGTTCAATCAAGATGGACCATTATACGCAATGGGTGCCGCCGAAACAATGGGATTTTTTAACACAAAATATCAAGATCCGAACGTTGATTGGCCAGATGTACAATTATTTTTTGCAGCCTATTCGGACGTTACTGATGGTGGTCTGTTCAGTCAAAGAGGTTCCGGCATTTCGTATGAGTATTATTCACAAGTGTTCGAGCATGTTGTTTACAAAGACAGTATTATGATCATTCCACTTTTAATGCGACCCGAATCAAGGGGACGCATTTTGTTGAAAAGCGACGATCCAATGGAATATCCAATCATACATGCCAATTACTTTGATTCACCGCACGATATTAATGTTTTGGTAAGATGCTTCACTTTTTCATGCGATTTTTATTTACAAAAATTCAATTATTCCCCATTTAAGATTGAAGGTTCGAAATTCGGATATGAAATAACAAAAACAAGTATCTTCCGAGCATTAAATGCTACACTAAATCCAGCCGTTATTCCGAATTGCAGTGGATTGGTTTATTTGAGCGATGATTTTTGGCGATGCATGGCAAGACATTATACCCAAACCATTTATCATCCATCGGGGACATGCAAAATGGGACCATCATCCGATCCATTGGCTGTGGTCGATCCGCGGCTTCGTGTTCATGGCATCCACAATTTGCGTGTGATTGATACGAGCATGTAAGATTTTATCTAAGCTTGATGTTTTATATACCGAAAATTAAAAATTATCTTCATCATTCTAGAATGCCATATATTGTGACCGGAAATACAAATGCGCCAACCATTGCGATTGCAGAAAAGGGAGCTGACATGATCAAAGAAGATCACTTGCACTATGGCGGAAAAAATTACTAACAAAAAATATATCAACAATGCTCATTGAACTTGACCATGTTTTTGGACTACGAAAAGAAATAGATTGTAAACATTGTCTATGGAATATTCAAAAACTAATAGTAAATTGTAATAGTTTTATCAATGAAAAAATGAATGAAAATTAAATAAACACAATGAAAATAAAAAAGTATGTCAATATTATTGCTCTTTTGAGCGCGATTAAATGCAGTACTTTAACAATGTTCTTGGAACCGATCAAAAAAAGGTAAATTCCGATGAAATCTTATTATACAAAAGTATTTCTTTGAATTCGCATAAAAAAAACTTCAAAAATAGAAAAACTAAGCAAAAACCTTTGCAAATCAAAGCAATGTGTTCGTATATAGTGCAATATGAACATTTAAATCAAGAGAGCATTTTCGGTGTGTTTTTAATTCATTTAAAACCCGTAGTAATCTTATCTGCTGTGCAATCGTTTCAAATCGTTGAAATATACAAAAGCAAATTCTGTCTGCCGATCACAGATAATACAAAAAATGTACGGACTAATTTATACAACAACAATACAATTATATTTGTTAAAATTCATCGCTATTCATTTGAGCTTCTTAGCAGAGTACAAGTGGAGCATGAAACCGGTAAATACATCGATCGATGCATTGTTTATTTTTGCAAATCAAACATAAAAATAATGGGCAGTAATTCGATTTTCGGAGGAATAAAAAAACTTAGCCAAATGAAATAAAAACTGCATTTCACTGCATTGTGTTAGTTCAATGACATACGAAAAACGCACATATACAAAGGGTGCCAAGTTCAGGTGTTATGTAACTTCCTAAGTACACAAAACAGTGCGTCGCCTCGCATACCTTTACGCTTATTCGATAATAATAACCAATACTTGAACACAATTGCCTATCTAAAGGTTTAACTGAATACAAGGGGAAAAGAACTCTCAAGTATGAAAAAAATGAATGGAACACCAACCATGTAAGCAATGACACTTATTCATTCTTCAATAGTTTTCCCCTTGTTTAGCCACTTAAATGTAATACAATTAATATAATATGCTATAAAACCACATTGCTAGAAATCCATTTACGCACATCAATTATATTATCAGAACCGTTAACAAGTGTCTTGTGTTTTGCTCGTTTTTCCACTAAAAACTTCGCAACACAAAGAAAGTGTTTCAAGAAATAATTCTTCAAATCAGAAGAAATATATTTGTTTGAAAATGGAAGTTTTTCCGTCTCAATGTGCTGCACAAAGTGTTGGCGCTGTAAATCAATTGTTTGGTTTACTCATACAAAGCATTTTGGCTGCACAATGTTCGATTTCACCACCAGAATTTTGGCCTGAAGATTATGGAGCGAAATTATCGGTGTCAGGTGCGATTTTTGTAAATTCTTTCGCTTTTGTTGCGTAAATTAGAAAATATATATTTCAATTCAATCAAGTGGTATTACTGACATTGTTGGTGTTACAGTATCAGGTTAACAGGTCAATTATAGCATTCCAAAGATTAGATTTTCTAAGTGTTGTTATTAATTTTAGGAGTCGTTGGAGTTTGTTGATTTAAATGGAATTTATTTCGTTTTAGAAAACAATGAATTTGAAGTCGACTTCATCATTATTGGTTCTGGGTCGGCAGGTAAGCTAAATGTATTTGCATATGATAAATAAATTGATTAAACAGGTTCGGTTCGTCATTTATTACTAGCGTTTATTTTATTTTAGGTTCGGTTCTTGCAAATCGATTAAGTGAAAATCCAAATTGGAAGGTTTTATTATTAGAAGCAGGTGGTGATCCGCCAAGTGAAACAGAGGCAATTAGAATAAGAATAAAATTACGTAGTCGTATGCGCTTTATTGTGTGCTTCAAAATTTTAGGTGCCCGTGCTTTTTGAATCATTGCGTAAAACACAAAGTGACTGGGAATTTTATGCAAAATCGGATTCGGCGTGTTTAGCAAGTAAAGATGGTTGTTTTTGGCCACGAGGAAAGTGTTTAGGTGGTTCATCATCAATAAATGCGATGTTTTATGTGCGTGGCACACCAAGAGATTACAATCGCTGGGCTGAATTGGGTAATCCAGAGTGGAACTGGGAGAATGCATTGAAATATATGAAAAAATCGGAAGGAAATGAAAATGCGGACTTTGTTAACTATAAAAATGGAAAATATCACAGCGATAAAGGACCATTGAAAGTAAATCATTACAGCGATTTACATCCACTTTCACGAATTTTCATTGAAGCCGCCGAAGAGGTTGGAATTAAACACTTAGACGACATAAATGCCGACGAACTTTTGGGTTATGTAAGTGCACAAGCAACCGTTTCAAATGGACGACGTCAAAGTACGGCAAAAGCCTTTTTAGTTCCCGCAAAAAATCGCACCAATTTATATATTGTAAAACATGCACATGTACAAAAAATACTGATTGACGATCAAAATGTTGCGACCGGCGTTGAATTTTTGTACAAAAATGAAAAAATGTTGAAAGTCACCAGTCGAATGGAAGTGATTTTATCGGCCGGAGCTGTGTCAAGTCCGCAGATATTAATGATGTCTGGCATTGGACCAAAAGAACATCTCGAGCAACACAATATCGATGTTAAACACGATTCGGCCGTGGGAAAAAATCTATTGGATCATGTTTATACAGCAATGTTTTTCCAATTTCATCGTTCCTCACCGACCAAAGAATCAATGACCGATACATTGGATGCCATTTACAATTTGGCCATTCATAATAAAGGACCGCTTACGGGCTTCGGTCCATCGCAACTTATTGCGATGCTTAACACCGAAAATGGAACTGGCCAACCTGATACTGAATTACATTTCATTATGTTTGAACAAAATTCGTGGAAATTCAAAGCACATCTTCAGCTAAAAAAATTTGATGAAAAAATCGAAAAAGCTTTGTTGGCCGCAAATGAAAAAGCTGATATTGTGACGATATGGCCAACACTATTAAAACCAAAATCTTCCGGTTTCATTGAACTTGAATCGACGTCACCAAGTGATAAACCACGAATTGTACCGAACTATTTCAGCCATAACGATGATATGACCACCATGTTACGGGCTGTGAAGCAACAGATTTCCTTGGAGAACACACAATCATATCGCAAACATGAAGGCGAATTTTTAAAGTTACCGCTTACCGAATGTGATGAATTCGAATTTAAATCGGACGATTATCTAAAATGTTACATAAAATACTTTAGCTCCACACTTTTTCATCCGGCTGGCACAAGCAAAATGGGACCGGACAGTGATGCGGATGCCGTAGTTGACTCGCGGTTAAATGTTCGCGGCGTGAAACGATTGAGACAAATTGATGCTGGAATTAGTATGATTTTTGAAATTCCATGACGAAAGAGCTTTCATTAAATGTTGATGTTTTGTGTGTTTTCAGTGCCAGAGCTGGTGAGCGCAAATACAAATGCGGCTGTCATCATGATTGGCGAACGTGGAGCCGATTTTATCAAAGAAGACTATGACAAAAAGCAAAAGACCGAATTGTAAATTACACAATGTATTCAGTGTCACAGAAATAATCAAAGGACCTATTTTCACATTTACAAGGACATCACAAACAGACTGGTCATGATAATGATCAATGGATTTCATCAGAATATGAGATGAATCGAATGTGTTGTTTAAAATTAACACTTAATGAATCATTCGAATTATCTGATAATTTGTTTTGGGCAACGTTATATTACGCAATGCCCTGCAGACAAATTATAGAAAATGCACTCAGCTTTTTTAAAATCGAAAAATAAATAATGATGAAATTTCTATACCGCTCGTTTCGTTTCTTTTATATGTTCTCAATTGTTTTCAAATATTGAAAACGTTATCCTGCTTATGACGTTTTGTCACCATTGAAAACAGAATGTAAAGGCCAAAAGCCAATGACCATAGGTTTGCATTGATATATCTCAATAAATGTGTTTGTTTCTTTTGCATTGATATAAAAAAATATATGTGATAACAATGCGACGTGCACAATTGTCAAAACAGTACGAAAACAGTAATTAAAGGAATTCCACCAACAAAGGATCGACATTCAGTTGAATATCAACCTTTTTGTTTGAATTTTTGGACATTTGGAAAGCGTAATTTTTTGCGATTTGATTTAATGCGAGGAGTACTTGTTTTATTTAAATATTGATTCAGAATCATTCAAATTCATTTTTTATACAGATTTTTTTCATTTATTTCTTTTTTTGTTTGCAGAGAAAAACCGTCAAATATGGATGTGTTGAATCCAGCATGTGCTGCCCAGAGTGTGGGTCCAGCAAATCAACTATTTGGGCTTCTCGTTCAAACCATTTTAGCGGCACAATGTGCTATTTCACCAAAAGATATGTGGCCGAAAGACTTTGGACCTACGGCCCTTGAACAAGGTTAGCCAGTCTATGTATTTCGGATGGATATCGATGGCGCTGTGCAGTTGCGTTTAATATCCAGATATTCTAAAATATCTCGGATGGATATCCATCCGAAATACATAGACTGAGGTTAGCAAAATGTAAATTATAACTGACTGGCTTTTGAATGACGCTCAAGTTTTGAACTTCAAATGCCTGATTATCATTTCGTTTAGCATTTTATCGATAAAGGTTTATTGTCGCTGTGTGTAGTTTTGCTCTTGAAGAGTCAGCTTCTGAATTTTGATCATAGATAACCCAAAGTCAAGTCATTCTCAATTCGGTTCTTTTATTAGATTCAGCTTCCGTACAATTTATCCATTGTATGATTTTTTTTTGTATAATCGTAAAAATATTTGTTGCTCAATTAATATGTTAGGGGACACTGAAATTAACTGTCTGTATACTTCTTAAAATTCTTTTTAATGAAGATAAGAAGCAAACCGCTTAAAATACTAACATGACAATCTATCATTTGTTTGATAAGGAAGGAGTATTAAAGAGTGTATTTTTTTTTATTATCAACAGGATTGAATGAACCATTTGATTTCATCATTGTTGGTGCAGGTTCAGCAGGTTTCTAAAACTCATTCTATACTTGTATCACTGTTGAAAAATGATGATCTAAGCGTGTGTTTTATTGTATTTAGGTAGTGTTGTGGCAAGTCGTTTGAGTGAGAATCCAAATTGGAAGGTTTTATTATTAGAAGCAGGCGGCGATCCACCAATTGAATCTGAGGTACGAAGTTTTTTGCAATTAAGTTTGATTATATTGAGTAAGAAAGTCTCATAATACATTCACAGATACCATTATGGTACTTTCACCTTCAAAATACGGAATACGATTGGAAATTCAGAACCGAGCCAAGTGAAACAGCTTGTCGCAGTGTTAAAGGTGGTGGTTGTTTTTGGCCAAGAGGCAAGATGTTAGGCGGTTCACATGGTTTGAATGGGGCTATCTATTTACGTGGACACAAATCAGACTTTGATGAATGGCAAAGTATGGGCAACACAGATTGGGGTTGGGATTCGGTTTTAGAATATTTCAAAAAGTCCGAAACAAATGCAAATCGTTCGTTTGTTGAACATCAAAATGGCGAGTGGCACAGTGACAAAGGTGAGATGGGTGTCGATCATTATGACCAACCGGAGCCGATTCGTCAAGTGTTCATTGATGCGGCAAAGGAATTTGGCTACGATTTTATGCACGATCTTAATGCTGATTTAAGTTTGGGCTATGCAAACACTCAAGGAACATTAAAAAACGGTGAACGTCACAGTACAGCCAAAGCATTTTTGGTGCCTGCGAAAAATCGAAAAAATTTGCATGTAATTAAATACGCACACGTTCAACAAATTCACATTGATTCATCGAATAAAGTCACAAGCATTGAGTTCATCTACAAAAATGAGCATAAATTCATTGCGAAAGCGACAAAAGAAACCATTTTATCGGCTGGAAGCATTGGTACACCACAATTGCTTTTGCTCTCTGGAATCGGTCCCAAAGAGCATTTGATGGAGCTGGGAATTCCAGTTAAACAAGATTTGCCTGTTGGAAAAAATCTCCAAGATCATTTGATTGTTCCCCTTGTTTTTCAATTTAACAAGTTGACTGCACAACCAGAACCACCCACCGAATTCTTAGATAATCTATACAACTATCTTATTCATAGAAAAGGCCCATTGGCCGGAATTGGAACAGCTAATTTAGTTGGTATGATCAATACCGTCAATCATAGTGGATATCCTGATGTTGAATTACAAATTGTCAATGAAAGAAAACAATCGGATTTTTTGAAAAAATTACTACATGCAATAGATTATGAAGAAAGTGTGATAAAACCGTTGCTTGATGCAAATAATGAGGGCGAAACTAGTTTTGTTTACGTTGAATTACTGCGACCAAAATCAAGTGGCGAGATTCTATTGCAAAGCACCGATCCAAATGATGCACCACGAATTCTGCCGAACTATTTGGGCGATAAACGTGATGCGGATACATTAATTCGAGGCCTTCAATTCCAAGCAAACTTCGTCAATACTGAATCATTCAAGCAGAATGACGGCGTTTTAGTTCGAATTCCATTCGACGATTGTGACAAACACGAATATCAATCGTACGACTATTGGAAGTGTTACATAAGCCACATGGGAACAACTGTTTATCATCCAACATCTACAGCAAAAATGGGGTCAGATTCAGACAAGAAAGCCGTTCTCGATGGCTCGTTAAGAGTCAGAGGAATCAAAGGATTACGCGTCATTGATGCTTCTGCGTTACCAACTCTAGTGAGTAGCAATCCAAATGCGGTTGTTATTATGGTCGCCGAAAAGTCCGTTGATATCATTCGCAATAAATGGATGAAGGCGGAAAACACTGAATTATGATCCAAAAGAGAAAATAATATATTTTGAGAGTTTACAATTTATCCCTTCTAATAAAAAAGTCTTTGAAAATGTAAAACTTTCGTGTCGAAATGGTGTCCAGTTTTTATCATACTTAATTATTTCCATAGACATTCGTAACTTGAATAGAGTAAACGCTGTATTTTGCATTATTACGAAGAAATGATTATGTGCATTAAATTTCAAAATCCCTACTAATAACGCCCATATTTATACTGCTTGATAAAAATTTAAATATGAATGAAGTCTACGGTCTTTATTCAGGCGTCTTAAAATACTTTCAATGTAAAATGCAACCAAATATAACCGTACTGCTTTGTTAATTCTATTTGTTTCTTTTGATATTGTAGTTTGTATTTAATGTCTACAATGTTGTGCTGATTCAACGTTGCAAAACCATTTTGCATTTTGAATTAAGTTGTGTGAAAATAGATGAATCAACTCAATCAACTTAGGCTTTAGTTAAAATACGCATTTCGATTTACGTTTGCGAAAAAAACGAGTTTTTCGTTTGCATCAGAATCGATTGCCGAAGTGAGCACACTCAATTTGGATGTGCAGCACATCGATTTCATTTAGTAGGTTACATTGAGTTGCACGGACGAAGAAAATATGGAGAAGGAAAGAGAGAGCGAGAAGAAAAGAAAGAAAAAGTTTATGCCGGCATTGCTACACACAGCTTCATCTGAATGTATATTGATTTGTGTGTAACGCATGGTATGCGTTAACGACGGACAGTCGTTCTTATTGACACCGAGAATAACCAGATCGAATGTCGTATGAAATTCAATTAGTTTGTTATGTCAATTCTTACCGAATGGTTCATTGCTGTGTACTCTCTTTAGTTTATTGTTCACATTTAAAGTAATACACGTGATACGACCGAAAAAGGTGAAAAAAAATTAATTATTAAATTTATTGAAAATGTGCAAATGACCTTTAGCAGCGCCGCATAAATTTAGCTATTATTTGAATTGTGAAAAAAAACATTAAACAAATGAAATTCAATTAGTTCGGCAAAGAATTTGAAAATAATATCGAGTGTAACAATGTCTTGTTCACTCGTCACTTTTTGGTTGTAAACATTAAATCTTCACCATATCATTTATCCGCCGCAGTATACGTGTACCAATCTCTCTTGACACAATAATTAAATAAATAGAATTCGGATGATGTAGTCGTTCCAATTCAAGCTCTTGTTGTTCAAATTCTTAGTTATAATGTCACTGAGGAGATGAAAAATCGAGAGGTGAAAATAATCCTCAAAACATGATAAGATAATTTTATATTGAAATTGTTTATACAGCATTCCAAATGAATTGTGTTTTTTTATGGCTGTTGTCTGAATAACGGATTCGCATTACCTCTATTCCATTTTGTTTGTGTGTTTTTCGATAGCAAGCAATATACAAACATTTACGTGGTGTTTTGTCTTATCATTTGCAGTCAAGATAACAATACGATTTTTTCACGAAACATCAAATTATCGAAACAATACGAAAAGAGTATTTAAAGAAATACCTCCAATAGATCGGCATTCAGTTGAACATTTGTCTTGAATAACAACATTTTTATTTTGAAAAATATTAATTGCTCATTTGCAACACGTAAGTTTGATAGAATAATAATGAAACAAGTGAAAAATTAACAAATAATTAATTACGTTTCAATTTTTTTAATAAAATTTCGATTCGGTTTGCATGTCTGAAGTGATGAATATAATTTTTGAAAGTAAATTTTATTAGTGTGATATAATATTTGAGAAAACCGGTAAAACTTCATTTTATCACACTTGAATAGAATTCAGAAATGCTTCATTTTATACTTTGTTTGATATTCAAATTAATTAGTGAGTCTGATAATGTCTGTTATTAATGTGCGCAATTTTAAAAGACGTAGAAATAGAGACGTTAATTTCAAGTATATTTCATTCAAATATGACATCATGCACCGTAATTGGTGTTGACTAAATGGAAAGTTTAGTGGCGACTTCAATCTCGTAACTTATGGTTTGAGTTAAATTGATTGAAACGCAAACTCACATTAAAATGATTTCGTGATTGAGATTGATCCAAATGCAGTTTATATACAGTTTTTTTTCTTCATTTATTTCTTATTCGTTTGCAGAGAAAAACCATCGAATATGGATGTGTTGAATCCATCATGTGCTGCCCAGAGTGTGGGTCCAGCAAATCAACTATTTGGGCTGCTTGTTCAAACTATTTTAGCCGCACAATGTGCTATTTCACCAAAAGATATGTGGCCGAAAGACTATGGACCGACGGCCGTTGAACAAGGTTAGCAAAATGCAAATTATAACTGACTGGCTTTTGAATGACGTTCAAATTTTGAACTTCAAATGCCCGATTATCATTTCGTTTAGCATTTTATCGATAGAGGTTTATTGTCGCCGTGTGTGGTTTTGCTCTTGAAAAGTTAGCTTCTGATCATAGATAACCCAAAGTCAAGTAATTCTGAATTCGGTTCTTTTATTAGATTCAGCTTCTGTACAATTTATCCATTGTATGAATTTTTTTCACAGTAATGTGAACGTAAAAATATTTATTGCACGAGTTAATGACGCATTTAGCCTCTTTTTTTGAGAGCCATTGAATTGAACTGTCTGTTTACTTGTTAACATTTGTTTGCATGATGATAACCAGCATACCTCTCAAAATCTTCACCCAAAACACTCATAACATTATTTATAGAACCATTTGGCGACAATCTATCTTTCGTTTTTTCTCATACACTTTGATAAGGAGTATAATATATTAATGAGGAGTATATTATTTTTTTATTATCAACAGGATTGAATGAACCATTCGATTTCATCGTTGTTGGTGCCGGTTCGGCAGGTTTGTAAAACTCATGTTATATTTGATTGTGTCACTTTTGGAAAATGATGATCTAAGCGTGTGTTTTATTGTATTTAGGTAGTGTTGTGGCAAGTCGCTTGAGTGAGAATCCAAATTGGAAGGTTTTATTATTAGAAGCAGGCGGCGATCCACCAATCGAATCTGAGGTACGATGTTTTTTTCGTTATTAAGTTTGCCAAATAAGAAATTATATTCTTGTATTTTCATTCAACCGTGAATTTGTTTTAATAAGATTTTTGATTGATCGATAAATATTTGAAAGTATTTGATTTATGATTTATGACTTGGATTGTTTTCATGACATTTCTAAAAGAGCATTTCGAAAATGGGGAAAATAAATCATTGTCATAATTCTTTTAGACACTCACAAATAAATCCATGTGTTGAATGAAAAACGATTCTTTTTGCTTGGGATCTTTTTCTGGCCACTTTTTCTTATATGCTTTTGCTTTTTTTTCGAACGCTTCTAAAATATTTATTTTTATTTCACCATTATTTCCTTTCCTCAAAAACACACACACAAATTTGGTGTTGGACGCACACATCCTTATCCACCCACATACATACACACACACACATTTACTTCAATCAAATATATCTATCATTGTCGGTTGATGGGTTATTGCATGCCTCAAATGTGCCAAATACAAATAGATTCCATTTATGATATCATCATTGCAAAATACATCGGTTGATTGGGGATATTCGCTTCAAAAAACGCAAAAAGTTGGTAATTTACTTGCATCAAATGTATCATGGCCGAGTGGAAAGTTTATTGGCGGTTCGGCTGGTATGGATGTTCGATTTTATGTGCGCGGTAATCCACGTGATTTTAACGAATGGGAATATGCCGGCAATCCAAATTGGAATTGGCAAAATATGTTGCAATATTTTAAGAAAGCTGAAAACCAACAAACCGAAGCTGTACCACAAAGCAATGATGGTGGTGCTGCTGATGAATCACTCGGAAAGATGGGTCCATTGCCAATCGAATCATTTGTCAATGAACAACCATTCAAGCAAACTCTTTTTGATGCTGCCCAAGAACTTGGTCACAAACAAATTGCCGATTTGAACGGCAATGAATACATTGGAATCGGTCGTGCGCCCGGCATAATCAGTCAAGGAAAATTATATAATGCGGCCAAGGCATATTTATCACCGATTCGAAATCGTACAAATCTATATGTCATTAAATATGCTCATGTTACGAAAGTGAATGTCGATAATACAACTGGACAAGTGACAGGCGTTCAATTTCAAATCAATCAAACGCAAGAGCTCACGGCTGTCGCCACAAAAGAAACCATTTTATCGGCTGGAAGCATTGGTACACCAAAAATATTGCAACTATCTGGCATTGGACCGGAAAAGTATTTAACACGTTTGAACATCTCAATTGTTCGAAATCTATACACTGGATTCAGTTTACAGAATCACATTACGGTTCCGCTATTTATTCAATTCAATGTTAGCGATGTGCAAACGACCGAAACAAATAATAACGAAAATGCAAATACGGATCCAATAACAGCAACAACAGCGACAACAACCGAAGCGGGTGTTGATTCCACTGACACATTATACGATTACATTAAACAACGCAAAGATATCGCTGAATTGCAAAATATATTCGATGTGCTCGGCTTTTTTAGTACAATAAATTCACCATATCCAAATATTGGAACGCAGTATGCCATTTTTAAGAAAAATGATGGCATTCTTCTCACCGAATATTTGAAAGTGAAAATTGGACTGAATGAAAGTGTTGCGCAGCCCATTATTGATGCAAATAAAAATGCTGATATTGCAATCGTTTTTGTCACACTTTTGAATCCAGTGACTTTGGGCAAAGTTATTTTGAGCAGTGCCGATCCATACGCATTACCACTTATACAATCGAATTATTTGAGTCGACCCGAAGATATTGCAACATTGGTTCAAGGCGTACAATTGGCTAGAAATTTCTTACAAACTACACCATTTAAGGAATTGAATGCATCGGATGTTGTTTTGTCGATTCCGGACTGCGAAACGGTGCCAGTGAAAAAGAAGAAAGTTAAACCAACAAAACCACCAAAGGAAAAATCAAAGAAACACGATAAAAAGAACAAGGGACAAACGAGCACAACGGAAACACCACCACCATCGGCACCACTTGACGAACCTTTGGCCGAAGCCATCCCATTTGGATCCGATCAATACTTTGAGTGTTATGTAAAACAGGTATCAAAAACACATTATCAACCCGTTGGAACGAGTAAAATGGGACCACTTATCGATCGATTCGCCGTCGTTGATTCGCGGCTTAAAGTGCATCACTTGACCGGTTTGCGTGTTGTTGATGCATCCATTATGCCGAAAATAATAAGCGCACCAATTGATGCGGCAACCATTGCCATCGCTGAAAAAGCAAGCGATCTCATCAAAGAAGATTGGGCGACAGCTGAAGCAACGCCAGCTGCTGCTGCTGATGCGGCTGACGCAACTGCAGCGCATGAAGAATTGTAACCTGCTCAAAATCGAAATCGAGATTTGTTTCATTCATTTTTAAGCGCTGAAAAAATTATTACAGGAATCTCAGGTTACAATTTATTACGTCTTTTTTTTAGTTGAATGCACAGTATTGTATTTTTTACTAGCCCAGTAAGTATTCTTTTTATTTGGGAAAAATTAAAGAACGAAAACATTTACTGGTTTGTTTTTTCATTTTATAAATTCATTTGTGGTGTGAATAAAGATGTATATGAGCCTCAAATGAATGAACGTAAAATTGCGTAAAATTAAATAAAACGCTTTTATCCAAATTGCTTTTCTTTACACTTTCCTTCTTTTCATGTTTAAATCACATAATACATTCGTAAAAATTCACCATTCACAGATACCATTATGGTACTTTCCGCTTCAAAATTCGGAATACGATTGGAAATTTAGAAGCGAACCAAGCGAAACAGCTTGTCGCAGTGTTAAAGGTGGTGGTTGTTTTTGGCCTAGAGGCAAGATGTTGGGCGGTTCACATGGTTTGAATGGGGCTGTCTATTTACGTGGACACAAATCAGACTTTGATGAATGGCAAAGTATGGGCAACACAGATTGGGGTTGGGATTCGGTTTTAGAATATTTCAAAAAGTCCGAAACAAATGCAAATCGTTCGTTTGTTGAACATCAAAATGGCGAGTGGCACAGTGACAAAGGTGAGATGGGTGTCGATCATTATGACCAACCGGAGCCGATTCGTCAAGTGTTCATTGATGCGGCAAAGGAATTTGGCTACGATTTTATGCACGATCTTAATGCTGATTTAAGTTTGGGCTATGCAAACACTCAAGGAACATTAAAAAACGGGGAACGTCACAGTACAGCCAAAGCATTTTTGGTGCCTGCAAAAAATCGGAAAAATTTGCATGTAATTAAATACGCACACGTTCAACAAATTCACATTGATTCATCGAATAAAGTCACAAGCATTGAGTTCATCTACAAAAATGAGCATAAATTCATTGCGAAAGCGACAAAAGAAACCATTTTATCGGCTGGAAGCATTGGTACACCACAATTGCTTTTGCTCTCTGGAATCGGTCCCAAAGAGCATTTGATGGAGCTGGGAATTCCAGTTAAACAAGATTTGCCTGTTGGCAAAAATCTTCAAGATCATTTGATTGTTCCCCTTGTTTTTCAATTTAACAAGTTGACTGCACAACCAGAACCACCCACCGAATTTTTAGATAATCTATACAACTATCTTATTCATAGAAAAGGCCCATTGGCAGGAATTGGAACAATTAATTTAGTTGGTATGATCAATACCGTAAATCATAGTGGATATCCAGATATTGAACTACAACACTTTAACCATAGAAAACAATCGGGTTTTTTGAAAAAATTACTACATGCAATGGATTATGAAGAAAGTGTGATAAAACCGTTACTTGATGCAAATAATGAGGGCGAAACTAATCTTGTTTACGTTGAATTACTGCGACCAAAATCAAGTGGCGAGATTCTATTGCAAAGCACCGATCCAAATGATGCACCACGAATTCTGCCGAACTATTTGGGCGATAAACGTGATGCGGATACATTAATTCGAGGCCTTCAATTCCAAGCAAACTTCGTCAATACTGAATCATTCAAGCAGAATGACGGCGTTTTAGTTCGAATTCCATTCGACGATTGTGACAAACACGAATATCAATCGTACGACTATTGGAAGTGTTACATAAGCCACATGGGAACAACTGTGTATCATCCAACATCTACAGCAAAAATGGGGTCAGATTCAGACAAGAAAGCCGTTCTCGATGGCTCGTTAAGAGTCAGAGGAATCAAAGGATTACGCGTCATTGATGCTTCTGCGTTACCAACTCTAGTGAGTAGCAATCCAAATGCGGTTGTTATTATGGTCGCCGAAAAGTCCGTTGATATCGTTCGCAATGAATGGATGAAGGCGGAGAAAACTGAATTATGAACTAAAAGAAGCTCAATGAAATGAATCACAAATTAATCAACAATAAAGAACACTTTTTTGAAATTGCAAAAATAATAAATGAACACATGAAAAATGCTTTAAAGATATCTATAAAAAAGTTTATTTTCTTCTCTTTACTCTGGGGTTTGTATATAATTCCAATGGAATCGGTGGCTGTAAAAACTTACTTTATAGAAATTGACTTTTTTTTAACCAAAAGGTAAATTATAAAGTTGAAATCGCTTTGTCCTTGAACAGAGAAAAATGTAATAGTTAATAGCGATAGTGCATTGTGTGTTGTGCTATTTACTAACAGTATTAAGTGGCTAATAAATGTTTGGGAGCTTTTAAATGAAAACGCATTTGCTTTGACCAAACAACAACATGTCAATTATACAAACTAATATCACTTGATGTTTTTTTTTGTGTCCATGTACGCACATGTATTACCATTCTAATAACTATAGGTACCTCAATTGTTTTTCACCGTACAAAGAAGCAAACACGACTGGCAATTCACAGCGCAAACCAAAAACGGTTGTCGCAACTATAAAGACGGTTGTCTATGGCCGCGCGGGAAAATGTTAGGTGTGTGTGTGTGTGCATCTTCATTCATATTCATGTATTGTAGAATGTTCATTTTTTAATTAAATTCTATTCATAACTAGGTGGATCGCATGGTATAAATGCAATGATTTATTTGCGTGGAAATCGGCGTGACTATGATAATTGGCGTGATTTGGGTAATCCAACTTGGGGTTATGATGATGTTTTGAAATATTTTCTCAAATCCGAGCAAAATTTCGATGCAGATTTTGTAAAACATAAAAATGGTAAACATCACAGTGACCAGGGAATGTTAAAAGTTGGACATTATCGTTTGAAAAATGATTCAAACACGATTGAAGATTGTTTCGTTGATGCTGGCAAAGAAGCTGGTTATGATTCGATCATGGATTTCAATTCAGATATACATCTAGGTTATACTCGAGTACAAGGAACGGTATACAATGGTCGTCGGCAAACAACGGCTAAATCCTTTTTAGTTCCAGCCAAAGATCGACCGAACTTATACATTATAAAACATGCTCATGCAACGAAAATTAACATCGATGACAATGCAAAGGCAACGGGCGTTGAATTTGTGTATAATGGAGAGGAGAAATTAATTGCAAAGGTGAAAAAAGAGATTGTTGTCTCGGCTGGTGCTTTGTCAAGTCCACATTTGTTGATGTTATCGGGAATTGGTCCCGAAAAACACTTGAAAGAAATGAAAATTCCGCTGAAAAAGAATTTAGCAGTTGGAAAAAATTTACAAGACCATATGATTGTACCGATGTTCTTTAGTTTCCATCGATCAAAAAGCGATTCATTGACATCGGAAAATCCATTGAAAAATACAATCGATTTTTATTTATACAATAAGGGTGAATACACGAATGTTGGCATAACGGATTTAGTGGGTTATATTAATACGGTAAATGGTACTGGTTATCCTGATATCGAACTACATCACTTCGAATTTAAAAAAGAATCACTTGGATTGAAGACATATTTGGAAATTGTTGGTTTTGGCGATGAAGTACAGAAGGCATTGATCGAAGAGAACAAATATAGTGAAATGGGAATGGTGTTTGTTGTTTTACTTAATCCAAAATCAAAAGGTAGAATTATGTTGAAATCGATCGATCCGTTTGAAAAGCCACACATTTTTGCAAACTATTTGAATGAAAAAGAAGATTGGCAAATAGCATTGAATGGCGTTAAGTATCAGTATAACCAGGTCAAGTCGAATGTGTTTAAAGAACATGATGGCACTTTTATGCAGTTGCCACTTGCTGAATGCAATAAACTGCCAGTCGAATCAGACGAATATTTCAAGTGCTACATAGATTATATGGCAACGACAGTCTATCACCCAGTTGGAACATGTAAAATGGGCCCGAATAGCGATAAGAAAGCAGTTGTAGATTCACGTTTACGTGTTCATGGCATCGAAAATTTACGAGTTGCCGATGCCAGCATTATGCCAGTCATCGTGAGCTCTAACACAAATGCACCAACCATCATGATTGGTGAAAAATGCTCTGCATTTATCAAAGAAGATTTTGCGGCACATGACGAACTATAAAAAATATTATATTACAGAGAAAACTCAATCACTATAATTTGAAACAAAATGTAAATCATGTTTATGTTGCACTCATTTTACGCATCAATAAAGCACTACCTTTTTAAATAAAAATGCGATTCTAGTAGATGTTCAGTGGACAACTTTAAAACCCAGTTCTGTAACCATAAAAACACTTTCTGCTTTTTCAGTGCACGTGGTATGGGTGTAATGTTTGGCATTCGCATGCGCTACATGGGGCATCGATTTTCTACTTTTATTATCGAATCAATTTTAAGTTCCATTTCTAATTTAGATTCCCGGTCTTTGGTTTACACTTCAAAACAGCAGTTACGATTGGCAGTACTTTACGGAGCCATGCAACACAGGTGGCCTAGCACTAAATAATCATCAGTCATTTTGGCCGCGCGGTAAAACTTTAGGTGGATCAAGTGCAATGAATGCAATGCTATACGTGCGAGGAAATCGACGAGATTTTGATTTACACTGGCAGACAGCAGCTGGTGCCGATTGGAATTGGGAATCGATTTTAAAATACTACACACGATTTGAGAGCAACAACAACGAAGCAAATCATGCATCGCTTAATGTTGACAATTATCCAAGGACCGAATTTGATGAATACATAAAGTCAATGCTGCAACACTCATATGAAGAATTGGGCTTTAAACACTTAAACAATTTTTATGGCGAGAAGTTCGTTGGTTTCGGTCGTGCAAAAGGTATTTTAAATAAATCTCAACGTGTTAGTTCAGCCAAAGCATATTTGCATTCGAATTTAGTCGATGTTCGAAATAATTTGCATATTATCAAATTGGCGCATGTAAATCGATTAATCATTGATGAAAAAACGAAACAAGTAACGGGCGTTGAGTTTGTTCGTTTGCCAGAGCAAAAAACTGTTATCGCTAATGCGCGAAAAGAAGTAGTTTTATCGGCTGGTGCGGTAAATACACCGAAAATTTTAATACTTTCCGGCATTGGGCCAAAAGCTGAATTGGCAAAACATCAAATTCCATTGATTAAAGAGGCGGCGGTCGGTGAAAATCTTCAAGACCATATAATGGTACCGCTTATTTTCTCAGTGCACAAATCCACGGCAGTATCACCCACTTATCAAATGTTGGCCGAGAATTTTTTCAATTATATCTTCCATCAAAATGGATCGCTTTCGAATATGGGCTCAGTCGACTATATGGGTTTTATAAGCACGGTAAACGATACACTTTATCCAGATATACAAGTATTGAACTATCTAATACCGAAACAATCTGCCGACGTTTTAAGATTAATTTTGGGCTTTTTTAATTATAAACAAAATATTGTCGACTCAATTGTTACGGCCAATTTAGAAGCCGACACATTTTTCGCTTATCCCGTTTTACTCAATCCGAAATCACATGGTAAAATAACATTGAACAGCAACAATCCACAAGATCCGCCAAAAATTCAGCCAAATTATTTGAGCAATGCTGAAGATGTTGATACTTTTGTTCGTGCCGTTAAAATTCTTGAAAAGATAACGACCACAAAAACATTAAAAGAGCATGAAAGTGAAATTGTGACATTTGAATTGGAAAATTGTGATGGTTTTGCTAGAGGCTCTGATGAACACTGGGAGTGTTATGTTCGTCACATGCCAATGACTGTTTATCATCCGACGGGAACAGCCAAAATGGGATCGAATAATGATGGACGAAACGTAGTTGATGCCGAACTTAATGTGTATGGGATTAAAAATTTGAGAGTGGCAGATGCAAGCATGTATGGTTTACTTTATATTTTATGAACAATGTTTACATTTAATTAATTTCGTCTTTCGTTCATAGAATGCCGGAAATTGTTAGTGGAAACACCAATGCTGCAACAGTTGTAATTGGCGAAAAAGCAGCCGAGTTTATCACACAAAAATGGACAAATGCTGAGACAATTGTGTCAAAAGACGAACTTTAAAATTGGTCCCCACAAAACTTGAATACTCAATTCAAAGTATAACTTTCTTTTCACATTTTTTGAAGAAAAAAATTCTTTTTCATTTAGAAGCAATGCACAAATTCTGAATTTTTACTCTATTTGAAACTCCAAACACATTAAAAACATAAAATGTAAAAAAAATCAAAATTAATTGTTGACTCGAACTTTGATTGAATTAATTGTTGGTCGAATAAATAAAACTAAACCTGATTGACAATCTCAAGTAGTTTTATCAAATAATTGTTACTTTGTTTTACAACAGTTCTCATCGAAAATCGATTTAGTTGGAAAGCACTGTTATCGCTACTACATCATGATTAGATGTGTTTAATAAAACTGACATGGAGTTGTGTGGTATATGAAAAAATATGTGCCACGATGTGTTATCCAACTCTTTTTTTATTGGTTTGTGTGGAAACGGACAATAAAACCTGCCTTATTTTTTTTATTTTTGACCAAGGTTAATAAGAAAGAGAAAAATTGCAGTAAGTGAACTTTTTGATTATTTCGCCAGCCGAAAAAACGGTTCATCGTACTTTACGATTTTTCTTTCATAAAATCTGGCGAACAATTAAAGTCATTGCTGGTCGACATCGCATTGATTACATAACGGAACCAATGTGGTTGCCGAAAAGGTGCAATTTATGATGCAGTTTTTTCCCCAAGATATAATTTCGAGCTGTGTGAATATTGTTTGGCTCAGATTGTGAAATGTTGAATAATTTTGCATGTTGTCCGGTTCTTGTTTAATATTTATGTAAAAGAAACCTTTTTTTCTTCATTTGTACATCTATTAAAAGCGACGTAAAATATTCAAATTAAATTGTTGAAAATGTCTATTTTTTCTCGGATTGCAGTTTGAATTCATAAATCATAAATACGACGTCGATAAGCGATACTCTATTTTTTTCATCGTCATAAAATCTATTTACACACATCTTAGACAATATCGATTGTTTCTTTTTAAATGCTTTTAAAATTTTATTACCAACACTTGAATTTGTATTGTTTCGTAAAATTTTTATGCTACTGTGTCGACACACGCTCACACACATGACATAAAGCGAATATCACTTGAAGCAACATTCCATGGTTGTGAATATATTGGAGCATTGTGTTTCAATTGAAAATCGAATAAAAGTGTGTATGGAAAAAGGGTAATTGGAAGCTCTTTAACTCTTGCATTTTTTTGTCATGCGTCTGAAGTCACGAATTTCGAATTTTCATATATAAAAATCACGTACAGATTTTGGTCGACGCCCAACAAAAATACGGCGCACATTGGTGGATGATAACTGCCGACCTGATTTGTGCGCCGTTCATGCCATTTGAAATATATCCGCTTAATTTAAGGTAATGTATTTCGGATGCCAAATGCTGAACCACGTGCGATAAACACTCACGTAATAAACTGTAGCAGAATTTAAAAAAAAACGGAATCGTGATATCCGAAGTGATCAGCATACTTTTTGGTTCAAAATATAAATTTGGTTCACAGTGAAAAAGGTTTAAAATGCTTAGACCAAATTAACGAGTACTTATCACGTTATCAGTTGCGAAATGTTGAAATTGGATCAAATCGTGGTTGAACCATCATACCTGTAAGAAAAAATAGAGAAAATTAAAACATATTATTCAATTTGAAACATTTGAATTTTAAATCGATAAAAAATTGCATAACGTTGTTTTTTTCTATTTCGGTAAATGATTGAAGAAATAAATGAAAACTTTCGAGAGATTCGATCAAGTCCGTGTATTAGCATCATGTTTTTGGACTTTGTGGTGTATTTTGTTTACTTTCATCTTTTAACCCATACAGATTTATATGCAAATAACCGTTAATGCGCTTTTTGTGCATGCCTTTTTTTTCTCTATATTAAATCACAGTCCGAAACATTTATGACATTATAATAGTGATGCAATCTCCTTCTTCTTTGACTAAAAAACTGCCCTACTTTTACTGTACACATAATTTATAAATCGCACGTTTTCGGATGAATTAAATAAATTTGTTCTTTTAATTAGCAATTAAATTGGCCATTTTATGTGACCTTTTAAAGGGCATAATAAATGAACAGAACACACACGTGCTTTTTTTTAAACCAATATGTACGTATAATTAACAAAACCATCATTTTCATTAATTAACAAGTTTTGATTCTTTTTACATTTTTATAAATGACCAATGTCATCCGAAAATATGTGTTGAATCGAATTTCAGCCGAAAACAACACCGAAAAAGATGCGAAAGATAATTAAATTAGCAAATAGAAGCATTTACATGGTTTTTCATTGGATCGGGCCGCCCAATGACTTCCACACGCATCAAGAGTTTGACCAACATCATCATCATGTTATCTAATACCACCATATAAAGTAAGTCACCGACTCACTTAAAAAACGAAAAGATTACGCTGAAACGTATCGATTACATATAAAGTCTTTTCTCTTCTCAGACACACACACATTTACATTCGAATCGTTTAATATCTTCAATAAATTTCGAGAAAGAAGAAAAGTAAAGATGTAATCGCTATGAAAATGGTAACGGTTATCATGTGATTGTGCAAAGATCACATTTGCATATTTCGTCTGTTCGACCAACAGAGAGGGATACAGCCTCCATACACACATGCCGTACAATAAACACATTGTTGTTTTAGATTTCATACACTCGGCATCGGAACTGTATTTTTAGTTCAATTTATCTCTGTCTGGCATTACATTAGGTAAATATGAATGAAATTGGCCTGGTCTATGAGGCGATTAAGTGTGATGTTAGCGGTGGTTTGTATGCGATATGTTTGTACAAAACGTCACGTATTCACTTTTCATTTGATACCTTAAATGCCAGAGATGTACGCATGGTGAGCCAGTGCGATCAAATGAATGTTAGCATGTGTTTGTGTATGCAAAGCCAAAAGCACACACATGATACCTTGGCTTTGGCGGAGAAAGTTGTTTTGGTGCGCTCGTCGCTGCTTCATAACATTTTGCTCACTCTTTCTTTCATTCATTCGAACACCATGTTGCCTTTGCAAATGAATCGATTGTGCCAAGTCGACTGTGCGTCTGTGTGTCTGTGTGATTTTGTGGTGAACGACGACTACGAGTCCCAAATGGTTAAAGTATTGTTTGATTTGGTTGATACTCAAAACAATTGGTAAACAGTTGGTTGTGATCGCTGCTGCCGAGCAGTTGAAGAAATTCGTTTACAGTGGAAACTTGTTCGATTGCGCTCACAAAATGCGCGCTGGCATTTTCAAATAAAACTACGTCAAAAACTTGCAAACTTGAATATACAAACGTTGTGTTTTAACGATTATTTCATACGATTTCCTATATTACGGAGAGCGCAATATTGTATGTTATTGTGTGCATTTTGCCATTTTCATTTCGATTATCGAAGTTTGGAATTCATTTTTTTCTTCTTCATTTTGTTGAATGCCGTGTGTGTGCAATTTAAACGCATCCGAAAGTGAATTTTATTAAATAGACGTAACATTCAAGGAAAATTTCTTTAAATAATCGAAAGTGAATGAATGATGAATAAATAATCTTCAAATGACATAGTCACAAACATATCACGGTTGAGGTGGATCAATTGAATGTATGAGAGAATAATTAATTAAAATGCAATGAGCAATTCAATCTTTACACCGACATGAAGAAAAAGAGAGTAGCTAATCAGTGATCACATGTGCTCGTTTTCGATAATTATCACGAATCAACCACATTCGCATTTAAGTGAATTGAACAAATATTTACCAAGTTGCAAGTATAACATTTTGATTGATGTTAAAGAGATTGACTACTGTTTCGGTCACTTTTGCATCGAAAAGCCCATGCAAATACATTCAAAAGTAAAGAAAAATACTATTAACAATCTAGTGATTGATGCATGGAATGCGATACACCGCAAATGGAATTGAGAAAAACAACAAAAGTGGAACACACACAGCGACTATTCGACGGTAGGAAAACAAAAACATAACGCGTCGCGATCACTTTAAGAGATCAATGATTCGGTTCGAAATTCAATTAATGTCTGATTTGAAGTGGAACGGTAATTGCTATAACAATTATAATATTGCACGTCGACAAATTGTTATTGAATTAAAAAAAGTGAAGATCGCAGAAAAACTCAACTAGAAATTATCACGATTGACATAATCATCAAATAGAAAACCACACAAATGTAATATTATCAGTGGAACGTGAAACAATTCGCGCATATATTGAAAAGAAAGCATAAACACATTCGATCCGAACGGAAAACAAAAACGAAAAATATAGGAAGAAAGATATTAGCATTTTTTTTTGTGTATGAGTCGGCGAGAGACATTGAATACGTGTAAATTTGCCAACTTGGAATAATTAATTGACGATTTGATTTTCGGAAATTCACACCAAACATGGTGATTCATTTATTGGCTTCGGCTAGCGCCAGTGCGGCCAAAGCGGCCGTTCCGGCTGTATTCAGTGCCTCGTCGTCATTGGTAGGATCGGCGGTCAAATCGGTCGCATCGACGGCGGTCAAATCGGTCGCATCGACGGCTGTTAAATCAATTGCGTCTACGGCCGGGAAAGCAGTGGCTTCGGGTGTGGCAGCGGTAAATATTATGCTTTCTTCTCAAAACTTGTGAATATTTTCAATTTTCAAATACCATTTAACTTAGAATTCACTTCTTTCTTCATTCAAAAGGTGGTTCCTGCGGTTGTTGGAACGGCGGGCAAAGTCGTTTCGGCCAAAGCGGCTGCCATCACTGGTATCGGTTCAACATTGCTTAAAGCAACACCAATCATTGGGCCCGCTGCGATTGGGATTGGTAAATTAACTGCGACCATTGCAATTGCATTGAAAGCAGCCACCGCCATTATTGGAGTTGGAAAAATTTCAATATTACCCGTTTTAATTGCATCGCTTGTTTTCTATAATTACGACTTTTTCGACCCCGAAAATCGGCCATTCAACGTAAAACAAGTGGATGCCGAGTACGATTTTGTGATAGTCGGCGGAGGTTCCTCCGGCTCGGTATTGGCCAATCGATTGAGTGAGATCAGCAATTGGAAAGTATTGCTGCTTGAAGCTGGCGGACACGAAACTGAAATATCTGACGTACCGATTTTATCACTTTATTTACACAAGAGCAAATTGGATTGGAAATATAGGTAAGACATGAGTCATTTTTGGTAAAAATGTTCGTTTTATTTCGCTTCAAGTCTATCTGTCACTTGGGTTCCTTCACGGAACGAAGAAAATAAAAACGCAGAAACACTAAAATGCAGAAAAATAAACGCAGAAAAAATAACACAGAAAAAAAATCGCAGAAGAAAAAACGCAGAAAAAATAAACGCAGAAATCAAAAATGCAGAAAAATAAACGCAGAAAACAAAAACGCAGAAAAATAAACGCAGAAAACCAAAAATGCAGCACAATAAACGCAGAAAAACAAAAATGCAGAAAAAACGCAGAAAAATGTAAAATAGATAGATAAACCGTGATGGTTGACCTCAATAGCAGTGTTAAATGTTGCTACACTGAGATGAACATGTCAGTCGAGATCTCTTTTTAAATTCCTAAGATTTTTAAAACACAAATATTTTTGTTCAGTTTATCAAAAAAAGAAACCTCTGTCGAGATGAAGAACGAATGACGGAAACAAAATTTGAAACACAAAAATTCTGATATCAATTTGGTGATGAAAATAGTTGGTAGATATTTTTTCTGTGTATTGTGAATTAAAACGAATATACATTTATATATTTGGAACGTTGATTACACTTAAAGTAAAATGAAGAGTCTTACAGGAGTAAGACGAACTTTTCCGCACGGTGGAAGATGCGTATTTTATTAAGCTAGTTCAAAATAATATTTGTTCGATTTTTAAAGCCTTTCAAGCGGCGTTAAGTTCGAGGCCAAAAAATATGTTCCAACTTTAGCATTGAAATATTCTTTAATTTAATAGCAGAAGTACTCGTAAAAGATTTTTCACACTTTCATGATGAACTCATTTGTATGACATTTGAAAGTATTCTATTTTCTAACAAAACATTATAAAACCTATGCTACCTTAATGATGTGAAACTTTGCACAGGTTATTTTCTACACAAAAAAATAACATTCTGAAAGTTTGAAGATACAATCAAAATTAAGAGTACCTCCTAAAACTCTTTATTTTACTTTAAGTGTAATCAACGTTCTAAATATATATTCATTTTAATTCACAATACACAGAAAAAAATATCTACCAACTATTTTCGTCACCAAATTGATATCAGAATTTTTGTGTTTCAAAGAAGCGATTACTGCCTAAAATGATAAAAAAATAAAATTCACGTATAGTTGGCACTACATTCTATGTAATAAGCGTATACTTTCCACTTAGTCCGTTGCAACCGAAAACAAGTTTGCATAGAATGCAGCGCCAGCTATATGTGAATTTTATTTTTTATCGTTTTAGGCAATAAATCTATGGTTTTCTTATGGCTTCTTTTGTTTTCGTCTTTCGTTCTTCATCTCGACAGAGGTTTCTTTTTTTGATAGACTGAACAAAAATATTTTTGTCTTAAAAATCTTAGGAATTTAAAATGAGATCTCGACTGACATGTCCATCTCAGTGTAACAACATTTAACACTGCTATTGAGGTCAACCATCACGGTTTATCTATCTATTTTACATTTTTCTGCGTTTTTTCTGCATTTTTGGTTTTCTGCGTTTATTTTGCTGCATTTTTGGTTTTCTGCGTTTATTTTTCTGCGTTTTTGTTTTCTGCGTTTATTTTTCTGCATTTTTGATTTCTGCGTTTATTTTTTCTGCGTTTTTTTTTCTGCGATTTTTTTTCTGTGTTATTTTTTCTGCGTTTATTTTTCTGCGTTTTAGTGTTTCTGCGTTTTTACTTTCTTCGTTCCGTGAAGCTACCGTCACTTGATTGTGCATAATATTTCACTTTTCGATGTTTTCCATTTACTTTTTATGTTCCATTATGTATCTAATTTAATTCAAATCATCAACATCATATTCACGCGCATATAAATCACCATCTTAATTTCATTGTGGAATTTTACTAAACGAATGTTTTATATTGAATAACGCATAGCATTGTTATTTTATAAAATGACATAGTTTTGTGTGTTGAAAAAAAAAATCCAATTCAAAAATCGAATAAAAATAAACTGGCCGCTACAAATTATATCGGATATTAGATTACAAAGTGGTCATGGTCATTTGACTGTTCAAAGCATATAAATTTCGATTCGGCAATCTCACCATTCGCCATTTCAATTTACCACAGCGACAAAGAGTCATTTTACCACTGTTTTATTGGCTGGGCCGTGCAACTTAGAAGTGCCAACGCAAATCCATGTGCATGTGAATTAGATCTTCGACAAATATACATACATAAATTTGCAAATTATAGCAATAAAGACCAAAAATGAAGAATGAAAGCAAAAAAATAGACGAATCTCTTATACAATTGCCAATGAGATAATCTCGAGCAATGCGATAGCAAAGACATGCAAGCCACAACATATGAGCGATGACGACGACGACGACGACGACGCATACAACAAAACGAATACGTGCAGTAACGCAAATACCCGCATTTTTGCCATACTATTTTTTCTTCGTTGTAGCAACGATTGCAACAACAACAACAACACGTTTACCGGAACATTTCGAATTGTTTCTTTCGTCAGACACACAGACACAGAAAAAACGATTTTCGAATGCGATCGAGAGTGAGGCATGGGTTTTTTTCTGCTGTGCCCGATTCATCGAAACATAAGTCACATCATATTACAACCAGTGCATGTTTCATACCGCATTTTTTGCACTGAACAAATGAAACATTTCGAATTGTATGCAATTCACCATCTGAAATGATTTCAGTAAAATCAGACAGAATTGATGTGCATCAATTGTTCGGTCGCTTTTGTCATTCACCTGTGTGCAATGCATATTGGAAACGCTCAAACAAATAGAGGTGATTCTTTTTTGTATGTGTGGAAAAAACCCTCTCGGATATATTTCTATAGTCGTTTCATGTTGTTCATTTTATTTGGACACTGATTAATTGGATGGGTCCAAGTTCAATGAGAAAGTGTGCATTGTCACTTTCGTTAAATTCATTTTTGTTTGACTTTCCAACGGAGCACAAATTTGCCATTTCAATAATTTAAATCGAAATTCACTTTCGCGATATTATGTCCATTTACCGTACAAGCCTGTGCCCTAAATGGCTTGCAATCGATTGCGAGAGATGTTGTTGTGTTTTGCTCTCAATTTGGCCCACTACCAACAGACTCATTATGTATTTTATTAGGTTTTTGGTGCGCCAAACATTTTTTCTATCGTTTCCCAAGCGAACAGCATCAATTTGTTTGCACTGCAAAAAGGTGAATGTTCGCAAATTCACTTTTTTCGGGCGAATTATTTAATGAGAGCGTATAATATGTTTTCAAGGATATTTCTTCATATCGCTACAGTACGTAAAAAAAATATTCCACAATCAGTAGTCACCCAAACAGATTTTTTTTTCAGTCTCCATCTCTCTCTTTGTTTGTCTGCTTTTTGATCACTTTCATTTTATTTGCTCGTTTAATGACGAATGACATATTTCCGAAGTCCAAAGACTCGTTTGATCACATTGTTATTTCGGCAAAATTATGTAAGTTCGATTGACCACGATCAATTTGAATCGAGTTTTCGAGTGATAAAAATACGCCACAATACAAAAAAATAACAGATATGAAAGTAAAAAAAACGGTCGACGCAAAATTACATCAGCAACATTTCGTGCGATGCACAAGTGAAACAAAGTGGTGTCGTTGCATTTACAAGAATTATCGGTTTTGGATGATAATCAATATTATTGATATGTTCAAATGATGATTAACATCTTTATCCCTTCCATGTGGTGAAAAATTTCTCTCACACCCAATCTTCGTCGTCGATCAAACACAAACGATTTGTTTGTAAAGATGTGTAAATTATATACAACGCTTTTGAATAATATAACAACACATGTTTTTTCGGATGCGCAGATTGAGTGTGAAATACTCTATAAAACCATACTTTCTAATAGCTCAAAATTATTATGAGTTAATTGTCTCTCATTACGAACGTTTATGGTGATTAGGCAACGGCATGATAAGCTCGAATTGCGTCATTGAATTTACTGTTTTTCCACTTTTTTATGGAGCATTCTATTTTTATACCTCTTTTGCATTTTTTTACAATTTAGTCCTCACCGACTTGTTTGCAGTCACAAATTCGACATCAAACTGTCAATTTTTCAAACAAACACTTACTCGACGGCATGCCGAATGATAATGAATATTGCAAAATATTACAAATTTATTGGTGTACCGATTTATCAGGTCAGGCCAGTGTTTGTATAACTGTTGCTATATTTGGAATTTATGGAGATGCCCATTGATATTATTCAGTGACGAGTCGACGCAACATCGGTACATACAGTGTTGAAAAAATTAAATTGTTGTGAAATTCATCAATAAAAGTCTATGTGCGTGTGAAATCCGGGCGAAATCAATTCATTTCCGTTATATCATCAATTCTTTTGTAGACATAAATTGCCAAAAAAAAGATAGATAATATTTTTTTTACACGATTGTTATCCGAATTTCATTTTTTCCAATCGTATAAAAGCGAATAGAAATGAATGGTCATGCATTAAAATGCTTATGAAGTAATCGGTGCTTTTCAATCAAATCCAAAGTAATTTTCCGTGCAAATGGAAACGATTATGATTGAGAATTGAAAATCGCATCTCGTCAATTTAAAATGAATTGCTTCTGCCTTTGATTGTTTGTAAAAATACATTCAATTTTTCATCAGCCGAATGATTGACTCGAAGCTAACGAAAATGGGCAATTCAACAGGTTGGTGTTTTCGATTTCGATGAAGAGCCACACGCAAACCAGCACAAATTGTGTAATATGTGATGCGTTTTTGTGGGCATTTTTTTTCTCTCTCTATTTTCAATCAAATAGCGTAAAAGATTATAAAATTGGATAACTGAAGCGATGACGAAATGACACCAAACCGAGAAAAACCACAACGATCCGGTCAATACATGCCTACTCATTGTGAATTTCTATCTTTTTCAAATGAAAGATGTTCGATGCGGTGGGTGCTACAGTTCAA